CCGTATCGCACAATTGCTGCGTTCTTGTGCGCGCCCGCGTTCCTCGGGCGTCGTTTCTGCGACATTGTCTTTCAGCCGCGGCGCAAACCGGCACCGATGAAATTCTTTTCCATCAGATAGACCGGCCTGATTGTCCATTGTCATCCGCAGACGAGCGAGTTTTTAATAGAACCGAGGAAAATAAGTTAATTCATTATCCGGCGACGCCGTTGAACTTCGTCGGATGTTGAAACCCTCGATTCTTCGCTCTTCTCTCTCTCAAAATGGATTCTCGATCCTTTACAATATCCTTTCAAGGCAGCTTTGCGAAAATTAAATTAAACTTTGCGAGTAATTAAATCTGATACCATTTTTTATTTTCATGGCGACCGATCGGTAATACTTCTTATCGGTTGGTAATAAGTTCTGCATTGCCGGCGGAAAGCCGATCAATGGGCTACCGGTCGGTAAAGCGTTAACAGTCGATTATCGATCGATTAGATACCTCTGTCCAGAGATATCGATAGTATCGACTAATTTCGAGTTTGTTCGATTCGATTTGAAAACTAAAGTTGAAGCACGGCGGAGGAGGAACGGTTCGCGGTCGATTCCGATACGGGCCAAGAGCAAGAGGAAGCCGCGACGGAGAAAGAGAGGAGATAATGGTCTTCCGGCGTTGAAAGCGTGTTCGTGGGGCAGGTTTTAATTTTCAAGAGACCGCCGGTCCGCTCCTGTTGCCTCGGCGTGCAGCAGCTGTGCGCTCCGACTGGCGTGTTTCGTTCGATTTGGCGCGTGCCTCGTTGCCGACCGCTTCGTCGTTCGCTCGCTTCCTCGCTGGCTTTTCTCTGCCTTCCTTCGTTGCTTTCGCCGTTACTCCTCGGCCCGGAGCCTCGGCACCTGTTCCACAGCTGATACGCGGCTGCTACTTTTGCTCACTCGAAACCTTCGTCGACTTCCAGATACGTTGCTTTCGGTCCTCGTTCCCGGCTCGACGGATCGTATTCTAATTACCGCTACAGCCGCCCCGTTAATTAATCTTGCGACCGTTTTTCTGGGAACGCGACGAATTCGAGAAACCTTGTTCACACGGAAAATGAGAAAGCTGCTGCAAGAACTCGCCAGAATTTATTAGAATTTATTATAAGTTATATGTAGTTTAACATCCACGAGTTTTATCATGGAACCTATCCTTACAGCCTTGTTAAAATTCAAGAATCCTATCTAGATTTATTTTCACGAACATCTAATCTTGAGACCTAATTTTTTTAGCGAAAAATCGTGTCACACATATGAGGGTGGCGTTGTAGTCGAGTACATGTTAACAGAACCTAAAAAGCACTCGACAAGGGCGGAGTCGAGGTTTAAAGGGCCGGAGTCGCGAAATTCCTGAGCCGTGGGGGCGGAAAGTACGCGGTTCGATCGTGAAAGAGCCGAAGAGCTCCCGGGAGAGAAAAGGTCGGTTGCTCCGGCCCCGATTGTTCATCCGTGTGAACAAACGCGCGGTCTCAATGCTGAAGAATTTCGGAATAGTTTGGTCGCGAGCCGAGAGCAACGAGTTGTTCGTCCTTTTCGCTCCCTCGAGTCGCGACGCGCGAGAAGAGGGTGCATTTAGGTAGCATGAAAACGCTCGTGGAAGCATATGCTCGCGTACGTGAGCGACTCGCGCGCCTGTGGCGGTCCTGTGAACGCGCGGGCGCCGTGAGGGCCTGCTCGAAGCTGCACTCCCACGCTCACCGTCCATGAAATGGGGTGCGAGGTGCAGCTACGCGTCAGCCCGTGCAGGTGTAGGTGGTGTGTGCACAAGGGTCCGTCCCTATGGCCCTATTAACCGCGCCGTTCTCCGACCAGCTAGGTCGCGAGCATGAGAACCCGTGGACTTATGGTAATTCTCGATTCTCACTGTCCCACTGTCGGCTTCGTTCATTCTCCGGACTTCTTAATAACAAGGCCCGCGGTTAGTTCCCGATCTCAACGTTATTGCGTCGATACCAACGAGCAACAAACTCGCGTTGCCATACGAGCGATCTAAACGCCAGGTAGCAACGATAGTTTAGGGAACAGTTTCCTCCCAAACCCTTTTTATCGGGTTGCGCGGTTTCTAGAATCACAGGGTGGCTTGTATCGTTTAATGCATTGCTCGAACAAAGGTTTGTTCTATTAATGTACTCTTATAAACTATTATTATTTCTATCTCGCTAATTTGACGAGGACCTGACGTTGTCCAGCGTAGTATGACCGTCTTTGATACTTTGTATACACTTTTGAACAGGGTAAAAGTAACCCCCTGTATTAAAATTATAGGGTCGAACTTGTATACGTGGTTTCTGTGTGTTTGCTACAGTTCGAAGAATCGGAATTTTGTCTCCACGACAACGCAACGTATCAAACGATTGCAATTAAGCACAGATTCGAACAATAATAAATCGGTAAATCGTTGGTGCGAACGCGACTTGAGACAGACTGGAGTTCTCGACTGGTATTCTCGGAACTTTGCCACCGACTTGCGGGAGGCAGGCGTATCTTAACGAGCCCCGCGGTTAATTACTTGGCGCGAGGGAGAATTATCGCGAAACGATCAGTCTGCATGAACGCAATCTACAACCGATCGCCGAGATTTTCGTCCCCCCAGTGACGACGTCGCGCGAAACCATGCATCCCGATGCCTACAGTCCCGCGACAAAATGGCAGAATACTCCAAACAATTGTACTGTTAAACATTATTAGCAATATCAGTTGCACTACTTGCTGGGCGCAGAGTGATATAACAATATTGTTGTTCGAGGTAGGATATTACGAAATATTATATAATAATGAATATTGTTTTATCTCGGAGCTCTTATTCTTCGTAAGAATATTAAATACTGACAATTTTATATAAACTCGATCAGTGATATATGTCCTCTTGTTAGTTTCGTAGATCTCTTGATCCTAACATGTTGCTGAAGAACAGTCACCCGCGCTTAATGTTAGTTCTCTGTGCTCGCGCGATCATCGGGTTGCCTGCTACCAGGGGTGAACAGAGACAGGGGCACAAAGTTCTCTTAATAATATCTTGAAAACTAAACGCAAACGACGCTTGTTTTTTACATCAGAATACTCTTAAAGTCAGGTTCCATTTTAAGAAGTAAACAATAATCCACTGAGGAAGTGATTTCACGATAAAATTAAATTCGAACGTTTGTAACTACCCCTTTTCCAAGGAACTATCGTAGAATTGAATATTTCACAGCGAACAGATAGAAGTTTAACCGTTATGATGAGGATTGTCGTTCGAATAAAATTTTGCTGGACTCTGGGGCAGAGAAGCCTGGCCAGACGATGCTTGGCTCGTTACGGGTCGTGTCTTTTCGCCGGGCCACCTGTTTTCCTCGTCAGTTAAGATGGATAAGTGTGGGAACGACGGCTGATGGTCACACATATCGTGCGCATTATAATTCCGACTGTTCACGCAACGCGACGTTTAGACGGTGGATTATGGTAATCCGCAGAAGCCGTTGTCCTGCATGCCATTAGCGAAGGTGATATAGGGTCGTATCGTGGAAAGTGTTTCATCGAGACGCAACCTGTAAATTGTTCCTACGCTTTTGCACGAAGTGATCGTCTATTTTGAAAGCCATTCGTAGCACATGATTCGAGCAAGTTTGCACACGCTCAGGAGGTTCGAAAAACCACACTCGCGCAACGTGGTTCCTTCTCTCCCCGTTCGGAGAGCTTAACGGTAAAATTTCAGATAAGATTACGCGATTTCCGTCGACTTTCTTTCGCGTAAGCCTCGAAAACGGATATGTCTGAATTTTTACAACATCTTATCGTCCGGTGTTCGATGAAAAAAGATAGAAATCTACCGCGAGTAATTAAAACAAGATATACATATTCTCTTATCGTCGCCGTGAATTCAGTTGAAACCAGTTTACGCGTAAAGAAGTGTCTTCCGTCGGCTGTCCGATGGAACAAAGAGCATCGATGCTGTCGCGTTGTAATTGTGTCGTCCGATAAAACAAAAACAACTCTGCTAAGCTACGTTGAAAATTGTCGCAGAAAAACAATATTTCTGACAATTGCGCGATACGATGTCGAATACGTAGTAATAATTATTTTTTTACTAACGTGTTTAGGTTATTGCAATCTTCGTGACACGTAACGATAAAAATAGTACGATCCACTGCACCGGGTGGACCTATTCTGTCGCGAACAGTTACCCGACGCGACGAACGAATACAAATTACGATCTTCCGAATCGAAAAGAATTCCGATCACGATCTACGTCGTGTGCGTTCGAAGAACAACGATCGCGATTAACGCTAGATTTACGGACAATTTGACGTGTTTTAGACTCGTAAATATAACTTGTTAACAAATACATCTTAATCAAATACTCGACGTATGATTTAATTACAATCTTGTGTGCTGTTCGATGTTGTTTAAATTTGCTCGTACGCGCGGTGTTCTCCAAAGGTGTTGCAGTGAGATTGGGCAACTTATAAAGGGTTAATGCAACTGTCAACGTAGAACAATGGTGTCCATCGATGTATCGCAGGTCTAGTGTTAAACAATCGTTGGTTGGCAAGACTAGTGGATGGATCGAGGACGAAACGATCGCAGCCTCCGTAATGGACGCGCGCGCGCGATGGGTTTCTCGTGCTCGAGGAAAGGAAGTCGAGGATAGGCGGAGTTCGCTCTGGCCAATCGTCGAGATGCGCGCCGCCCACGTGTCAGCGGTTCCTCCCTACAGTCTCCGTGCCTCCCGTGATGACTGCGCGCGATCCCTGGGTGTATGTCCGAATGATTTTCCATTTGGGCTTGCCGCAAAAAGCCAATCGTAGAGGAACAGTATGATCGATAGACGTTCCAAAAGCATCTAAGAGTCCTGAGGGCTTGCAACGTCGGGTTGCTCCTTCGATTTCGATGCTCCAAAACTGAAAACGTTAATCTTCGATATAAGGACGATCAAGTACATGTGTTTTACTTGTATGTATTGGTAGACGGAGTTAACATTGTTCTTTTTCTATTATCTTTTGCAGGGGGCTACAGTCATCTACGCAGTCCCGTGTGCCAAGACGAGAATCAGAGGGACGAGACCTCGCCTCCACCGCATAGCCATAGCACTCAAGCACCGAACTCTCATTCCAGTACTCCGAACAGCAATAATAACAATAATAACAATAACAGCGCGAACAGCGCTTACATACATCTACGGAACTTAAACCAACTCAAGACGGAGTGTAAGTATATCTGTGAAACGTCAACGCGCGTTTGTGCAGTCTAGCGCACTTAAGGCGTCATCTAGGAAGAGTCGAACAGATTTCTGGAAAGTCCGTTTGCTTTACAGCGAATTACAGCAATCATCATATAACGGAGCACCTGCAAGGGGGCGGCGGAGGGTTGACAAGTGGCAACGATCTCACGGGTACAGGGACCAGCGAAAGCGACCTCAGGGTCAGCCAGACCGCGACGGAGAGTTACATGACTCCGGCCCATTATTCCGGATACGACGAGGCCTCAGAGTACCACAGCCTGTCGCAGGATCATCAGCCGCCTCATCCTTACAATCTGGACGGTTCGCCGGAGTTTTACAGCACCAGTGGTATCCACCTCGAGCCGAAGTACCAACCGTCGCCGTTCAAAAACTACCCTCGGGGTGAGTCGACGTAAAAAGTCTCTTCGACCTGTTCGCCTGAAAGCAACAGCGTTTCGCTAAACAGTCGAGGTTACGAATCGAGGGACTGCTCCGTAATTAGGAAGTATTTGCTTGCAACAGGTCGTTACCATGAAGGATACAGTGAGAGCGGTGGTTACGGGCAGTATGACGCGACACCATTCCAAACGGTCCCTGGAAGCGGAAGCGGAGGTGGAGGTGGCGGCGTTGGCGGTGATCAATGGGCAGTTGGTCCCGTTGGAGAACACCTGTCCCATCATCCCGCTTTTCTCGCGAGCCTCGGCCCACGAGACTCTTCCAATCCTCATCATCCTTCGTCTATTGGCAACAATCCGGACCAGAAGCCTCTGTTGCAGAGCGCGATGATCGCCGGTTACACAAGTGAGTAACGCAACATGATGTGGAGCATAGACGATCTGTAAACGAAAAGTAAACGAGTTATTAATATTTGAACCTTTGCGTATTGCATAATTTTCCAGGCAGCGGACCCTGCTTCACTGGATCAGGCCCCATTCAGCTCTGGCAGTTTCTGCTAGAACTCCTAACAGACAAGTCGTGCCAAGGTTTCATCTCGTGGACCGGCGATGGCTGGGAATTCAAGCTGACAGATCCGGACGAAGTGGCTCGTCGCTGGGGCATTCGCAAGAACAAGCCTAAAATGAACTACGAGAAGCTGAGTCGCGGTCTTCGCTATTACTATGACAAGAATATTATACACAAGACCGCTGGAAAGCGATACGTCTATCGCTTTGTCTGTGACTTACAGAGTCTCCTAGGGTAAGCGTGTAACATTGTTTAATTATTGCTCTTAATGAGTGCTCTTGAGAATCTCTTGTTAAGAGTTATTCGCTAAGTGTGCCTGTTCGATTGCAGATATAGTCCAGAAGAGCTACACGCAATGGTGGACTTGAAACCAGAAAAGAAGGAAGAAGACTGAGTTTTTGTTACTGGACGTGTTTGAGGACTATGTCGTATATCGATGAATGCAAAGAATTCGTAGATATCGCACTGGAACAAAGATGAAACTAAAAAATGTAACGAACAATGTGTAACGAACAAACGATGGAGGAACAAACCAACTGTGTATCGCTAACGAAAGAATTCTTTAATGACGGAAGACTAACAATCCATGTCTTCTAACGTTCAGATATACTAAAATTATACCTTATTTGGGTATAATAAAATCGAATCGGTCGTATGTACCAAAGACAGGGTCTGCATACCATTGGTGCCTAAAGTTAATGACTAAAAAAATTGTGAATTTGTTTCTAAGTGATTAATTTTGCCAAGCCAGATTTTAGAAGATATTTATAGGAAATAACTCAACAATTTATACATATTATATATATATATTATACATATAAATATATATAAATATATATATATATATTTTTAATGTTACATGATTTCTAAGCACTACGTCAAGCACACGATGCGTCTAAATTATTTATGTCCCCCATCATTTTAAACGTGCGTGTTATATCTCGTTGATAGATGACACCCATATGTGATTGTTATTACTATAATTTTACTACAATAAAGCCATTATACCATTTTATTAGACGGCGAGCTTTCAATCCGACATTTCGATGCTTTTCTACGTGTAGATTATCACTAAGTTTAGTATTACGTTTCCAAGCTCGCTAGCTGCAACAACTATAGACACTCGTTTTATACTATCATTGATTCTCCTATCTCACTTTCTCTCGATGTCTGTTGTGCGACCAGGCCCAGGTATAACGTCGGAGAATTATAATAATTAAGATCGTTTCGGGCGCGAAAAAGGTATGCTGTTAATTTCGCTGCAAGTCTATATGTTTTGGCGCGTTTCTTCCTTAACGAAATCGTTTTGTTTCGTTGATCTCTATTATTTCCTAACGATAAAACAGAAAAATTGTTTTCGAAGGAGGGGACGACGTGTGCAACCAGTGTTCAAAAAACCATAGGTGCAAACCAACAGTATTTGCAATAGAAAACGATAAATCGCCTCTTAAAAAAAGCTTGTTGCAACAATTCGTTTCGAACAACATTTTCAAACTGGTAATTCGAAAATACAATTTTCAGATTTAAATCGAGGCGGACAGGTGCGCGGTTACTTCTCTTATTTCAAATACCGTTTTAATTGTATCAGTAATGCATTGTACGCATGTAAAAAAAGAGCATCTGTTTCGTAAAAAAAAAAAAAAAGGTTATTTCACAAATCTACCAATTATAAATATGTCTACGGTGACATAGCAATAATTAAAGTATATGAATACTTTTGCGATCTTCAATTGTATATAATATGTATACGTCCGATAAGTAGAACACTAGGTAAAGCATGCGTAGATAAAATTCGAAGATAATGTTACGATTAGTTTGCGTGATTCACCGTATCTGAACGAACGTATTTTATTTTATTTTGTTTTCTAAATTGTAAAAATGTTGGTCCATTGGACGTAAATATAATAATGTCGATATATTGATACGTTACGACGAATGAAACTAGAGGAGCGAGGAACTTTTTTTACACGCGTTACGTATCTATATGTGTACGTATATGTAACTACGTATTTTACGTAAATTAAGCTTCCTTTTTTTTAACTGCGTTTTGTTGAACGTTCGCGCAAAGAGCCGGATAGTAAAACGACGGTTGAACCAAACGATGATAGAACGACATTCGACGATAAATCTATATAAAAGAGAAAGTTCTGTCGATCGACGATCGATCGCTACTTGAACTATGTTTAACTATGGAAAAATTTAGTTAATCCCAGAACTTAGGGATCCTGGCATATCCGTCACGATTGTTAAGTTTTCTATATGTAATACGGATTATAATTTAGGCACGTCTGTATAATAATCGGAACGTGGTTAACAGTGTACTAATTTCGAAAGCGACTCACGAACGCAAACGTCGAACGAAATCGATGGAAGCATTACGGAATATGCATTTCGAATTTATACGAGCATCAATAGGGTACACGCGTTACGCGTAATATCATTTTTATTTCAAGTCCTTCCTCTTATGCACACAACTGAACGTTCGTAAATTGTATTGAATACTCTTAGCCGAATAAAAAGAGAGAACAGAAATTGTTATTGTATAAAATTCTACGTACTCTGTGTGTAAAAGTATTCGATCATCGTTTTCGACAATTATGCGAGGTTGCGACAGCGGCGACATGTGAAAAATTCTTTAGTAGTTGCAATAAAATAAAAAAATTTTTATAAACACGTCGTACAACGAGGTCGTTTTATTCGGTATCCTTTTTTAGATGACTTTAACGAAAGATTGTACATGTTAAGAAAACAATTGTCTCTAACCAACAATCTACACTTCTAAATCGATTCTTTGTAGATGGCGGTTAACGATTGATTCGTAAGCAATCTTCAACTGGATTGGTCGATGGTTACGAATAACGGTTCCATTCGATTTGGGGCGAACATTTTAATTAAGTATTGATATTTCGAATCTTCAATTTTCCATTAATAATATTAAAATGGAAACGTCGATAATTGCAACGTCCAACGTTATCAGTTTACCGGAATGTGTGCTGGAATTGGTACATACAAAATTTTCAAAATAGATACGAGATCGTTTGTCTTACATTCGATTTTATTTTCTTAGGTGTTGAATTCTTTAAACGCGAACGCTACGGCAATTGCAATACGAATCGACGCAAAAGAACGTAAAATTCAAGTGGTGGACAACGGTATAGGGATAGCTAAGGATAGATTAAAAACTATTGCAGAGTATAATGTGCAAAGAACTTATTGGAATGTACAAGATATTTGCAATTCAAGGAAACAAACATTGGTTAACATTCGCAGATTATCTGATGCTATGCTAATTACTTCTAGATATTATAATTCATTTAAAACGTTTATAAAGGTACAAACAATGTAATTCATTTTTGTCCTTAAGTATTATTGCATTTGGACTGACAATCTTTTTATATTTTCAGGTTTTTAAAATATACCATTCTCCTGATATTATCAGAGTTCGAACAAGACCATCTCACGGTACTACAGTAAGCATTTATGGATTTCATGAATTATCTCTGGACAAATGGAACATACCTTTAATGTCTTTTCTAGTTGCAAACACTGCAATAGTCAATCTGCAGGTAAATTAGAATGCATTCAACCATTGCTATATCTTAATATGTAGACCTAAACTTTTCTACATAGTTGATATACATCAATAGGTTTCATTTTCTATCAGAGACAATCAAGAAAATAAAGTTATTATGGCAATAACTAAACCACATAGACCAATAGAAATTTTAAAATTGTTATACAACAGGGAAATATCAGTTGATAATTTGCATTACATAGAAAGTATAAAAGATTCTGATACCAAATTCTCTGCATACATTGGGTCGACTAATATTAAATTAACCGCGAGGCAATATATTTTTTTAAACAATAGACCCGTTCATTGTCCTTTTATTTTGCAAATGATCTCGACTATCGTAATCACTACGATAAAATGCTACGCGACAGCACGATATCGGCAAATACCAAAGAAAGAGGCAATTTTTATTTTACTATTTATTACGTGCAAAGAATATTTTTTTACGATTGAAAAAGGAACGAAAACTTTAATCTTACCTAGAGTTCAAGATTTACTGCAAAATATTCGAAATGAAATAGCGAACATCTTTGCTAAGAATACAATGCCTCTTTTTAACAATGTTTCGAATCATGTTAGAGGACATAACAATTCGATGTACAGCTATGCAAGTGCTTCGTTTCCTCAAAAACTATTCGCGTCCAAACAAAACCGTGTTCTGCACACATTGTGTCATGTTGTCCAAAAGAAAGTGACAGAATTAAAAGTTCCACTGATTCACGAAAATCTAATCGAAAAACAGAACCGATCTACAGTTGACTGTTTCGATCCATTGAAAGTTCGTAACGTCAATTCGCAAGAAAGATATGTGAATAATAAATCACGATGCGAAATAGATACGAATCAATTGAATACAAACGAAATAACAGACGCTGTTCAGTTGTTTACCCCTGTTTCGCGAAACAACAATGTAATGAAAGAAAGTATTACTTTGACAATTTCCGAGTGGTCCAACTGGACCTATCATGATAATGAGTCGTACAATTCGAAAAAAATAAATAAACTTAATGACAATTCTCGTGTGACGAACTTTTATAAACATTTCGACTTTTTGCCAAAAAAGTTGCATAAACTTTTACGTGGCAATACGAAGCTGACGAAAATTGATATTTTAAATGAATCCTGTGGAAGTGTATTGTCAACCAAATTGAAGTTTGGATTGCCAAGTGAGTAATTGTGCTACATAAATATGTTTGATTCGATTACCAAAGACATGTTAGTTAATAAATCGAATTTCCTTCAGTATCGGACACGTTGTTCCACCAAGAAATGGACGTACGTCTTTGCAAAGTCGTTCAACGGTTCCGTGAATTCAGATTGAAGAAGGATCTTCTGAAATTTGTAAAAGTACTATCAGACGCAGATTATATGTATTTGTGCGCATTATAATGACAATACTTGTTTTTTCAGATACTGGGTCAGGTGAACAACGAATTGATAGTAGGATTGGTAATTAAAAATGATGCAAAGGTACTTTTGCTAATGGATCAACATGCTATTCATGAGAGAATACGATACGAAAATTTAATTCACAGTAACTATTCACGATAAATTTAACGATAAAATGATGTTTTATAAATGTTCATAAGTAACAATATGGAAGTAATTTTTAGAATACAAATCAGAGATGAGAAATCAGTTGTTTCCCATTAAACTAAGAGATCCTGTAATTATACAATTACCTGTTGACAAATGCAATTTATTACTGTCAAATACAATGCAACTAAAAAAATTTGGAATAAGTCTGAGTATTACAAATGATAATAGTGTAATTGTGCACACAGTGCCAGAATGTTTAAAAAGGAACAAATATTATTACAATGAGATAAAGTTAAAGCTTAGCGTGGAAAGTCTTTTAAACGAAGTGCTACAAAACTTTACAAAGAACAAAGATAGTCAGATCAATGATGTTCCTCTTGTGATTCACAATGCAATTGCAATGGAGGCTTGTCATGGTATGTTCTATACTATTTCTATATCGAAAATAATTTAATAATTAAGGTGTAAAATATAAATATTTAGAGTATGTATTTCTCAGTAGCAAATATTAATACAACAACAATCTCATTCATTTATACGCAACAACATATTCAATATCGTTTAACGTAAGAGTATTTTAGGAGCTATAAAGTTTGGAGATCCGCTGACACTGCAACAATGCAAGCAGCTCTTAAAATTACTAAACAAAACGAAAATTCCTACTCGGTGCGCTCATGGGCGGCCGTCTATAATACCTATACTGGAGCTCTCGAAATTGGAAGGACTACAGAAAAAAGCCAGCCTGGTATGTTATTACAATACATAGTACTCTTACATAAATGATATTTATAATCCTCTTCGACACATATTCCATACAATGTGCTAAATTCGAAACAAACAATTATTTACAATTGCTTAAAAAAGCTTAATGTCTTTTTGAAAATCATACATTTTTATTCGACTTACACAAACTCTCGTCCCAATGGAATTGTACGCTCGTTTCCCTATTTACGCGGTTTCGATTCAACACGGCTCGAAATAACTCACTCTAAATTCGTTATGCAGTGAAATAATTGAATGTTACAGTATTCAAGCTAAATATAGTAAACATCTAATTCCCTATATCATTCTACGTGAGCAACGATTATATATATACTTAATTTAAAGGATCGTAATTTCCGTTTTGCAGTATATCCGCAATTATAAAGTATTCGTCTATTACTTTTTAAGTTAAATGTCAGGGTAACCGGAAATCAAAATGTCCTTTCCAAAGTAGTTGACTCTGCTCACGATGATCATAAATTCTGTTCCTCCGAGCGAAACTGGACAAACGTTGTTAGGACGAGTGAAGAAGCACATCGTGTACAGGGCAAACTCCAATTCGGGCGATGTACCGACAAAAATCGTGGTGACCGGTTGCACTACGTCGTTCATCGACGAACGTACCTTTAAAACCGCTCCTTTCTGGAAAATGCAACATAGACGAAGAATACATATTTACTGTTAACCAGTGATAATTTAAAAAACCATAGAATCTGAAATTGTATATAACTCACATCGCCCAGTTTGACCTCCTTGATGTATCCAAGATAGTTGAGCTTCTTCTCAGCTTCCTGTTTGGCATAGTAAATCCAGTCGTGCAGGCCGATTATGTCCGAATCGAACTTCTCCGCTAAAAATACCGTTTCAAATCCAGAACTCGACGCGTCCCCGTCGATTCGTTTGAACTGAGAGAACCATATGCGTTTCAAGCTGTCCTTGAATTCATATTCGTCGTCCGGAATGTATCCTTTGTCAGCCAGGAACTTCATAGTGGATTTCATAATGTCGGTCTCGAGAATCTTGTCGATAAGTTCCGATTCCTCTCTGCGTTCCTCGGTTGTGACTGTCTCCTTCGTCTTAACATCGAACTCGTAGTTGTCGTGCAAAGCCAAGACAGCTTTTACCGTTGGAATCTCGTAAGCTTCGGCTTTCACGTCCAATAAACTGTAATCGGAACAAGTACATGTTACAAAACATTTCCTTAATATTAGATACTTCCGGGTGTAGCTACTGTCTCTAATATTCTCAATTTACTAGAAGGTAGGGGAGACTGATCGTTCTGAAACTGATCTGGTACTCACGGCTCAGGGGCGTCATCGGTGATGCTATCGTCTTTCTTCTGTCCTTGCAAATTTATCGTTATGTGCGTAAAAGCGCTGTTCTTCTCCTTCTCGAACAGGCTCTCCGTTAGCTTTTTGATGTCATCGTTGGAAGTCACGAATCCCAATGGATTAGGATTGTTTTGCGCGGCGTCCTGAGAATTAGTGGATGCACTGTTGGTGCCAGCGTTGTTTTGCGCGGTTTGCGGTGCTTCAGCCGCTGGTTGAGCAGCTGGTTGAGCGGCAGGAACAGCTGGTTGAGCCGCAGGAGCCGCTGGTTGAGCTGCAGGAGCTGCTCCCGGGGCAGCTGGCTCAGCAACAGGAGCGGTTCCATTATTGTAATAATTGTTGTACGTGATCTCAGTGTGCGAGGGCGCAGCAGCGCCGCCGCTACTGGTGCCTCTGGTACCATAAATGCCTCCTGGTATCAACCTGTTCACCGCCGCGTTCACACCGGCGCTAACACCAGCAAAAACGAACGCTTCCTTTGCGAGCTGTCCGATTCCTGGTTTCTGTGCCTGTTGCAGCAGAACCGTCTGCTGAGGTACCTGCCCCATGGATGGACTGAAAGACTGACCAAACGATGGCTGACCATAAGACGGCTGGCCATAAGACGGCTGGCCATAAGATGGCTGGCCATAGCCAGGATTATGTCCGCCATAGGATGGATTGTTGTACGACGGTTGCCCTGAGTAGGGTGGATGCCCGCCTATCGGAGGATTGTAACCTTGACCCACGGAAGGATTGTATCCGTGACCCGCTGAAGGGTTGTATCCATGACCCGCTGAAGGGTTATAACCTTGTCCCACTGAAGGATTGTAGCCTTGCCCTACGGAAGGATTGTACGGATGGCTCGCTTGAGGATTGGAGTTTGTTTGGTAGGGATTGCTGCTCGGTTGACGAGGATATGAGCCTGAAAAATCATTGTTCATTAAAGGGTACAGTAACGCGTGTACGTGTACTTCCATGTAAAGTTCGAAGCCCGAATTATTACCAGATTGCACGTTCGTCGCGCTGGCCTTGACGCTATGGTCATTCACAGGGGCAGACGGTTTTGCTGCGGTGTTGGTTCCAGTAGGTTTTTTATCCGGCACGTTCCATCCTATTTTATTCGGTGTCGATCCTCCTGCAAGAAAAGAACGTCAGACACACCGGAACATTAACTAACAAAGACTAGTCTACCTGGAAGTGAGGAATCGTTTAACATTGAAATTGATAAAGTCAAAACACAGCTTATTTAAGTTTAAACATAGTCCAGAGGAGCCAGATTGGCGGGACTATGCGCGCCGCCGATATATAGAATTAAAAGTAAATTGTACTGTGTGAAAAGTTGAAGGAAACAGGAAGAGGAAGATATGTAGTTAAGAATGTCTATGAATACGTGAAAGAATGAAATTACCTTGACTCGATTGCTGGTACGTGGTTCGAGGACTCGATGTCCTCCCTGTTCCGACTCTCCGTCTGCTCGATTTTCTAGCTCCCACGTCGACTGTTAAAACAAATCTTATTAGAAAAAGGCATTATTTATCAGTATCGTTTACTAAAGACAGACTACACTTTCAGATTGTTTACCACGGAATAAAAAGTTTGGGAACCGCTGCTTAAAAGTGTTCGAATCGCATCGTTAGCTGCGAGCAACCATTCTTAAAACTTTCACCATTCAAAAAGAATAACGATAAACATCAGAGATCATTGTTCGTTCGTTCGAAACGCCATAAATCATCGCGTCAAAAGAGCAATGATCTCGAATGTTTGACCATCGGGATGACCTAAATTTTGAAGCTATTCACAGTGAAGGTTGCTTAGAGAGCCGTGCACGAATTGTACGCAAAATCTTCCCGAGCGCCACAAACGAAATTACCAACCGTGGAATCAGTAAACCGTGAAACGAATGAAATCATCGAATACGATCTCCGCGATTACGTATTCACACGGTTATCGCGGGGAACACAATAGGTCGATCAAAAACCACGGTACCATCCGTGCGAGTTACGATATGCAGATGTTTCATTTTTTCCTAGCAACAAGTGCGAACGTTCGCGTGTCTCATGCTTCGTAATGTTCCACCCACGGGATCGTCGAGTACGCCTATAGAAACGCTACAGATCCTCCCGTATGATCACTAACAATTTATCAATTCGCTGAATAAAATAATGATATACCGTTAACGCGCCGACCCGATTATTATTTGCATCAAGTGCGCTTCAACGTTCAATAAATTGTAGCAATCGTCTTCGTAAATTGTTAAATGCAATATAAAGAACTGCGTAACAGAAAAAGAACTACTCTATTATGTAGTAAACTAGAGTACATAACTGTACTCTATAAACATTTGCAAAGTAACAGTCGCGCTGTGCCAATATTTTTCTTCGGCTCTGTAGATTGTCCACTGTATTTGTTCAGGTCTAAAACGCGTTTCTATTGTTTACTACACGATGCATCGAGATCGTAACTGTATTAGTCACAGGGAACACGTCATCGCGGTGAATTTCGTCGAACCAGAGTAGCATTGGCGTGCTACAGTACGGAACAAAATCATTGCACACTATATATATCGAATACATTTCATAAACACACCGAATCTTATGTTTACAAGACTCCACAATACTTAATTCGTCTATTCTAACAGATAGTTTGAAAAATGAAAACATTCCACGTGACCTGTTTACATTCTTTTCTCTAATTTCTTTGTCGCGAAAGGTGTACAATATACGTGTATGTATAGTGTGCAAGATATGCATTTTTTTCCTGCTAGCTACACGAAATGTAGAAATATATAGTGTTCTGTCGTTTTGTCCCGCAATGTAGAACTGCGAAACGAATAAACGAGGTTTCGCGGAACAGCTTAGAATTCATTTAAGTCTCAATGTCAGCCGCCTTCGCGACTTTCTAGGAGAGCCTACGATTTCTGCGACGTACGCACGTACACGCGCGTCCTTTTCTAGTCCCATCAATCGTGGACAAGTGAGTAATCGCGTGCGATGGTGTTCGAGTCGAGAGCAATTTCCTCTGGTGATCTTGTTACGGACTTGTTTGCTCGCGGATGCCGTTTCGTTTTAAAACCAATTAACCGTTCTCTTAGACCGGTTTTGTTCTCGAATGCACGGGAATCGACACGCGTACACATCCGTCCATTAGAAGCTAATCGATTGCTGGAAGTAATTGATGGATCGTCCGACTCGAATAGCAGCATTCGTGGAACTTTCAAACATTATAATCTTGGAAATTCCAAGATCGTTAGAATTCCCAACGTATTAAAGTTTCTTTCGTCCCTGAAATTTGATCCATCGTTTCGTATCGATCGAAATCGTAATCCAATCGTTTCGAGCACAAATTCGCGTACAAATTTCACTTTTAAGAAAGTTAATTTAAATTTGCTGTTAAATCGTGCGAATTAACGTAACTGGTATATTTTTTGTTGCCAGTCTCACGACAGAAACGTTCGTTTTACGTCGATCGGCTGATTTATAACGATCAAATTTACTTACCAAACACGAACAAAACGAGGATCGTGCAGATCAAGATCAGTCTGATATTCATGCTCCCTTTCTGTGTTGTTCGACGATTGTTTCCTAGTTGTTGGAGTATCGATCGATGGTGCGTTCAACAATCTCACGAAAGATCGATGCTAACTGCTCGACGGCTAACCCGTTACTGAAAGACTTCTTTCCCGTGAAACGACGCGCACTGCTCGCACGGAAACCAGTTCGGAATTGCAGTTACGAATTACGCGTCGTAGGCTTTCTCTTTGCATTGATCTTCAACGTTTTCGTAAAATGTGTAGGGATTCGATGATCTAGCACCGCAAAATTCCGCGTGATAGAAATAAAATTTTGGTCACATCGACTGTGGCACCGTCCCTGACACGAAGGTCATTAAAAATGAATACACCTTTATAAATATTTAACAGATCCCCTCCTTTTGATATCCACTGCATACTGCATATAAGATATTGCTAAATATTCAACACACCTTTATAAATTGTACAACCCAATTAAGTCTACTAACTATTAATTACATCATAATATGCAATAGTGGTCTCTACCTTTATGTGCTTTAATTTGTTTTAGAAAAAACTGAACTTTGGAGCGTTGAAACTATACCGTGCTAAAAATATTTAAAAACCGTTTACGCGTTCCGTGTATCCATTAATTATTTGGAAAATCCCAATACGTTAATTTCTACAAGCTGGTCAGTTTAAATGAAAACACTACAGTTTAGTTTTCCCAGGATAAGTAATTTTATGTCATTATCGTATTACCATTCTTTCATAATTATTATTGTATGTTATATAATAGTAATGTAGTTAATAATAGAATTATAATTTAGTACGCGTTGTACCAAACGGTTTTATATTTTATATTAGAATGTTGGAAAAGCAAGATCTATAATTTCGTTTCCAAAATACGTAAAGGAATGCGTATAAATGTTGAACTTGGTACCACCGAACGAAACTGGACACAAATTGTTTTGTCTCGCGAAGAAACATATTGTGTATAAAGACATCTCCAACTCGGGCATAGTACCCACAAATATAGTTGCGTTTGGTCTAACGACTCCATCCATGTCGAAGTTTAATTTCAATAACGAGGCCTTCTAAAAAAATTACATATCGAACGATAAATATTACATCATATTCGTTATGTTATTACCATCTTTCGTTTAATTACTTACATTTCCAAATTTCAATTCATCCACGTAGCTCATGTAATTTATATGCTTCTTAGATTCCTCGGTTTCAAAGTAAATCCAGTCCTGCACACCGACGATATCAACATCGTAATTTTCAGATGCGAATACGCGTTCGAATCCGCATGTACTTCCACTGAACATGGTGAACCAGATACGACGGAAAACGTCTTTTCTTTCGAAGTCGTCTGGATCGATGAATCCACGATCGGCCAACCATTGCATAGCCCTTCCCATTACGTTTGTATTTAAGAACGTATCGATCAGAAGATTCTCATCCTCGCGTATCTGAAGCGTACGGTTTACTTTTTTGCGAAAATCGTGCCCGTACATATCGTACAGGGCTCGCGTTACATAAATCGAAGGATAGTGCATCAACTCCGGTTCAACGGCGAGCAGTCTAGAAAATAAAAATAGAAACGATCGTTTTGATTGTCTTGGAATAATTATTAACAACATCCTTGAAAACAACGATTAAGCAGTTTACAAGCCAAAGTGATTAACTCTATTCTTCTTCTCGTTTTGTGGAGTTAATCGATTTGGCAAATGAGCGGCTTAATTATGATTTAGTACTTACGGTTCTTTAGCTTCGTCAGTGATGTTGGAAGACGTAGAACGCTTCTGCAGATTCAACTTTATGTATTTCGATACGTCGAGTGATTTTGAAAAAAGGTCTTCTGATATTGTAAAAAGGTCATTGTCTGAAATTTTATAAAAAGGTATATTAGCGACGGTATTAGAATTGTTGGACAAATTTCCTTGATTGCTCGCTGCGTTGGTTTGAGCTGTCGAAGGTGGAGCGACGTTTCCAGTCTGGCCAATTCCAATATTTCCAGTCTGGCCAGTTCCAATATTTCCACCGCCTCCATTAACAGTTCCAATATTTCCACCGCCTCCATTACCAGTTCCAGTTACTGGACTAGATACTCCGCCATTCGGACTACTTGTAGGGTATGTATTCCCGTATTCCAATGGAGAAGAAGGCATATTACCCGCTCCTGCATTTGGAGTAGGATTCGGTGCACCGTTCGTTGCAGGCGGAGTATTAAAGTATTGGTTATTATAAGTAACATGGGTTGTAGCCGCTGGCTGGCTGCTGCTGCTGCTGTCCGATGTACTTGGCGTATAATGAGTATGAGGATTTATCAATCTGTTCACCCCTGCATTAATCGTTGAAAACACAAGCGCTTCCTTGACCAGTTGACCGAAACCCCGGCCAGAATCTTGCTGTCCCGGAACCATTATGACAGTTTGACCGGGTATAAATGGCTGCGATGCAGGCTGTGCAAGAACTTGTGGTTGTTGCGGATAGTTAGCTTGTCCAGGAGCATGATAGGCGCCTCCAGAAGGATGTAAAGAATAAGGATTTCCCATTGGCATTGCGCTTGGGTGATAATTTGGAGGAGGGTAAGAATGTGTTGGCCAAGGACCGCTCGGTGGTGGTGCACTATGAGGATAATGCCCTCCCATTTGTGGTTGACCGTATGGAGAGTTCATGGATGTCGGATGATTCTGCGGATAGACATGATCTTTGAATCCGATCGGAGGTGGTTGATAACCAGACGGCGCTATGGGATTAACGGGTGAAGAAGGATTATATGGATAATTCGTCGGGCTTGGTACACTCGATGGACTACCACTTCCATAAGGATTGCTCCATGGTGTATGAGTTTGACTTGATGAATTTGAGCGTTGCGTGCCCATGTGGGGATTGCTCCATGGTGTATTAGTTTGACTTGATGAATTTGAGCGATGCGTGCCCAAATGGGGATTGCTCCATGGAGGCCTTGTTTGGCCCGTGGTAGAATGGCCTGGAATGTAGGGAGCATTGCTACCTGTAATATAAAACATTTTTTATAATTTATTGTGCGTACAAAAAAATAGAATTGCTATAGTATATTTAGCTGTACCTTGATTCTGGTATGTTCCTGTAGGTCTTATAACTTGTTCTTTCGGTGCAGTTGGTTGAATAGCAGGTGCAGTTGGTTTATTTTGAGTTGAGACAGGTGGATACGATGTTCCAAAGGAAGTTCCAGCGGCGTTTGTTTGAACTTATTATAAAGACATACGCTTTACAGCTTATACTTTGTACTTAATATAACATACGATATATTCGAATCGTGTAAAATATTACTTACCTGGTCGTCTGGCTCCTCCACCTTCAGCACTTAAGAAATGAGTGTTAATATCTTTACTATGTTGTGGAGTTACTGGTCCTAAGATTGCAAAGAGTAATAGTATATTTAATGCTTATATTAAATTCATAAATTTTGCATTTAATTACCGGATGAACTTCCTATTGGGTGAGAGACAGGATTTGGTCTGGACTGGGTTTCGTGTCCACTAGGTCTGTGACCTGCCGAAGATGTTGGTACATGCGATATCGACGTATGACTCGGTGAAGATCCATAACTACCTCGAGATGATCCAGCATTAGTGCTCTGATGAGACGAAGTTCTGTGAGATGATCCGTAGGATCCGGAACGACTACCACCGCTTGATCTTCCGGAAGATCTCCATTTTGCATTAATACCACCTACGTAAATATTTTCACACATTAATTTTCGCTTTTGTATGTGGAGAGAAATAAATATTTATACTTACCGATTATAGTAAATACAAAAAAAAGTATAAGCAAGAATGCTTTAAATCTCATAATTTCTAGTAGCGTTTTCGACGCAGTATTACAGTATTCGGTAAATTGATGTGAATAACAGATCTGTATATCCTGCACTTAAATTTATCAACTTTTTTCGTAGTAAACTCGTATTACGTCTTGCAATGTTATCTATACAGTTTTCCTTGAAATTCTAAGAGTGTACTAAGGGGTCACTGTTGCTGACCTCCGAGAGATATCACTGTTTACTGTCGCATAGCGTTGCAGTAGTAAAAGTCACAATTTTTCAATAAAACTTTTTATTTTATTTCATAATGATAACCTTCACCGAGAAACGTACATTTTATAGAAACATGTATAAATTATAAAATAGTATATATTATATAAACTATAAAATACTAACAAGTATTCAAAATCTTAGTAAACTGTTGAGATTTTTTATTCCTTTTAAAAAAATTTATATAAAAAATAATTTGCATCGCGCACCATCACCTCTCTGTACTGCATTTTTTCTACAATAACGAAGTACTACAAATACAGCCTTCTAAATTTGAGAAAATACTGAAACGTATAACATTCGGAACTCTTTGAAGGTAAACTAATGTCGAAAGTTAATCAATTTAGCCTTCTTTCGCGATGTATTTGTCTAAAATTTTTTCGCTTGGATAGTCTGGAACGGATAGCTCACGAAATCCTTCGTCGTCCACAAAACAAATTTCATGACCATCCTAAAATATTCACATTTATTTACAACGTGTATTTATCGAATTAAAATTAAAAGGAAGCTATCTAAATGCATTTACCGGATCTGCCAGAATAATAACTGTTACAGAAGCCTTCCCTGGTGTATCTAAAGTAATCAGATCAGTCAAAATTTTATTATCGCTTTCTTTGATTTTTTTTTGAATTTCTGGTTGTTCCGCTCGCGGAACTGAAAATGCTATACGTCCATAGGCTTTAGCATGATTAATTTCAGTACCTAAAAAGGGAAACCAGAAGTATATAATTATATAATTATACCTTTGTTATAGAAGGTTGCTTCAAAAAATTTACCAATATCCTCAAATTCAAGTTTAGCCTGATCCTCGCTATATCCCAGTTGAACACTTTTATCAGTTTGATCGAATACTTTTAACTGCAGAATATCCTTCCAGTAAGCAATAGTTTTTTCAAGATTTGAACTAGACAAAGTTACTTTCTCCACTGGATCTGTTAAAAACATCATTTTTAATGTAATAGATATTTAGAAGCTAATCAATGTTTAACAGTTCTTCGATAGTACCTTTGTTTGTAGGCTGTGGCTCATCGATAACATAATACTTGTATCCACCAGGTGCTTCCAAGACAAATTTTCCACATTCCTTTTTTATCGGCCATTTATTTAAACGTGCTCTCTCAATTGCCTCCGTAGAACGAATAGTTATGCCACGAAAATCATTACCAGTTTCGTACTCTTTAATTCCATAATTGTAGGTCAGTTCTATCACAAAATGAGTATCTTCTGGACCATACCCTATCATAGTTTTGCTCCATCGATTCGCGTATGGTCTGTGCAATTACACAAAAGATTAAGGGAGATTCTCAAAATAATATAAAAATAAAACAACGATTCAAATTTAAGTATTACATAAAAAAAAAATAGTTACGAACCCATTGCACGCAGCCTCGCAACCATCGGCAAATTCTTCGTGTCGCAATACCTATAAAAAAGAAGTTTTTTTTGGTCTGATATAGATTCAAATCGTCAAATTGCTAACCTTCATTCCAAGAATTTCCCGATAGAACTTAGCCGTTAACTTGCGATCCGGTATTTTAAAAACGAAATGAAGCGCTCGTCCGATGACCATTTTTAATAGCCCTATCTTTGAAGCTGTCGTCTTCGAAAGGTGAACTGACAATTGTGAATGAAAATCGGTGACTCGGCGTTTTTATAGACGTCTCGCTGATGATGATGACTAATCTTGTAGAAATAAAAGGTTTATACCGAGCGTTTGATACACACACGTGTATAACAAGTATTTACTTGATTCGTATCAAACGCTCGGTATGAACGATAACGTATCGAGTTGCTACGATTCGTCCGAAGAATTAATATTGAGTCAAAACCACGCATATTGTATAATCATATTTTTTATCGCTGTAAACATTCGTATACTTTAAAAACAGACGAATCGAGGTTAGGTCCGTTCGCTCGTATTAAATAATCGATAAAATTCAATCGTTCGTTCTCCTATATGCTATTTTCAGCCGCGTTACAGTTGCGAATATCTTCCATCGCGCGTCTTCGATTTCTATTTTATTTTGGGACCCTTAACAAAAAGTAGACAATATATTCCGTAATCACCTACATATACAGCTTCTCTGATTCGCAATGTTTACAGCGAAAGTAACGTCAGAAGTAAAAATTAATGTAAATTAATTTGTGCAGACAACGCGTAACTGTGGTCTGTGGTAGCCATAATCGTAGCAGACGATATACATACGTCAGATAATGTCAAAATACACGAGATATTTACACTTGCCAACAAAGTAAAGACTAGACTAGAATCCTGTTAAATATTATCTATTAACAAGAGTTTGCAAATAGATATGATAGAAAATCTTGCTGCCAAGTTATGTTTACTTTTGCCGGAAAAAGCGCACTCAGGTAACTATCGTGATTTCATAATTTTTTTCCCCGAACTGCAAATATTAATATATACCGATAAAACCACTCACCACGTATACTTTTCACGCGACACGTATCAAAGAGAACTCTTTTTGCAAAGAAATTGCTTGATTTTTAGCGGAGCAATGGAAATTGTTGGGTCAGGAGAAAGATGGATCTTTGTTGGTTGCATGGACAGAAGAAACTATAGAAGACGATGTAGTCGCATCCTACACTGTTGTAGGCCACTACGACCGGACTAATGATAAATTACAAGTAGGTCCAATTTGTAGATCCGATCCATATAGATCTGTTTGAATGAAATAACAAATTATGATACAGGTGGTACATCAATTCCCAGAAGTATTAAATATTGTACAAGGATCGATAAATCAGAGCCGCACAGTGTTTGGATATGTCACGAAACAGAAAGTTATTTCAGACACAGCTACAGAATCCTCGGAACCAACGGATGAAAGTACATTGATCGAAGTAGAAATGTACGAGGCATACATAGTTGAATTACAAGGAGAAGAAGTAAAAGTTCGTAATTTAGATACAAAGAGGTCCAAACAAGTACGCATTCAGTTTTTATACAGAGAAAAAGAAGTTGGGCATTTGGATAAATTCTTACTATTAATACATCAAGAATGTAAGACATTGTACGAATTGTAGTTGGATCCTTTCTTGTTAATTATACAAATTAAATTATTTTACCATACAGGTGTCATAATATATACTATATCGTATGAGACGAACGAATTGGATTTTCGGCCGATACAGGAGTTAAAACCCGAACCATTGGTAAAAACATTTATTTGGGCTCAGTGGGACATGATAAATCAAGTTTTATATCATATACATCATAGACGAATTCCCGTAAGTTTAGTTTCCGAAGACGACGATGAAAAGCCAAATAAATCAACTCGAAGTAATCCAACGCTCAGTGGTCTTCAGTTTCATGATGATTTGCCTCATGAGACAGTGGTAAATAAATTGTTTGGTCGATTGCAACTTAATATCAGTAAATTAATAATTAATACGTGTCAAACCAATATTTTTTTACAGCTGAATATACCTCTGAATTTGCCCCAGTTATCAACTTCTTCCAATTGTGGAACTTACGAGGACGATGTTATACCTTTAAGAGTTCACGATTGTTCCTTGGATCTAATTGTGGTTTCTGATTCCAAAGGAATGGTCTGTGTTTGCCACCATTACTTATATCGCCCAGTAAAACCGCAACAGCATGTACTTAACTCGCTAAATGAATTTAATACGGTTCACTTCGCGTATTCTGTAACGCTACTTCATCACAGTTGTGTAATCCATTGTGTTATACCGGGCATACCGTGGTCGCTCGCTAAACTCATACGGCCAACGTTCGCGATCTATGAACATCATCACATGATCGTTCTGGTACAAGGTTTATTTACTCATCTCCTTGAAATTGGAACGAATCACGAACCATGCTGCCATATACTATGCGGCCCGTTGACTACAATTCCATCGCGCTCCTCTTACCTGGTGCCGTTACTTGAATTAGAAACTAATAACAAAGGAAGCAAAAAGAAATACGACTCAACTTCTTTAGAAGGGAGCAACGCAACACCTCATCTTAATACAAGCATACTAACAATAGACTTACCCACACTGGACTTAGTGCAATTGAAAATTCCCTCCGAGTTCCTCACCGAAGTGTTTCGTAAAGAAACATCGACGGAAGTACGTCTAGGAATACTACATTACTTTCTCTGCCATAAAACCGACATGGATATCATTTCGGAATTAGTATGCACGATCGCTGAAAAACCAAGGTCCCTGGAAATGGTACGGTATATGCAAGAAGTTCTTATCGGCGGTTCGTATGCTCTGGTACAAAAAAATCTGCTAGCAGACGCAATGCCACTGTTGGCGTTGCTACCCGTTACAACTATGGAAGAATATACCAGTTTCGAGATCAAAGTGAACGATTTAAGTATAACATTGAGTCACGAAAAGCTCTGGAACACGTCGGTTATGTTGCTTTCGCCGCAGCAAAGATTGGTTCCGTATCGTAGCGACTTGTGGACTAGATTATGGGATCAACTTAGTAAAAATAACGGGGACAAGACGAGGTTTAAACCGAGCAAAATTGCTGAAAAATTGTTAGTCTCTTTAGCGTGTTATCAACCCGAGGCACTGTCCAGATCCAGTACTCCAATGTCTCCAAGTGGAGGGTAACACTGTTTTATGTTATTTTTTTATTAACGATACTAAAAAAATCTCTTATGTCTAATGCAAATCTGTGTTATAATTCACTACTATTATCATGCCTTCGATTGTGGTAATCTAACTTAAACAAATAATGTTCCAGATTGGTTGTAGCCACAGTGTCGCTTGGAGATTTAACTGGTGTTCGTAGTAATAAATTGTTAGACTCGTGTTTGCCATTTAACGAAACGGAGAGCTGCACGGCCTCAAAGCAGGAACACGTCGTGTCTGTAAATTTAAGAGAATTGTCCATGTATTTGTTGAAACATGGTACACATACGCCAATGACCCATCTTCAAGGATCGTGTACCCCGTTACACGTACACGCTATGGCAACGAGACACGTTGCGGCGCAGTTAGAAACATCGCGAGCTCTTTGTCAAATGCTATGTCGAGCTGCAATTGTGGACCCGCGAATCGAGCAAGAACGTGGCTTCATTCTTGTGTAAGACTTGAACCCCTTTCGATAAAATTGTCGATATTGCGTGATAATATTCGAACAGCATCTTTTTCTTAACTTTATATATAATACAGATATACCTTATTTTCAGTGATCAATTGGACGAAGCAAGACGATGGTTACTCTTCATATTGTTCGAGCGCTACAGGTGCGCGATAGAAAGCATAGCATTTCCGGCGCCACAGGGATTCACATCATTTTTCACTTATCTCGGATATAGAACTCTAAAGTATTCTATGTTCCTGCAGTACGTCCAACGATCAGTATTCGAGTTACAAGTGGACGTCAGCAAAATTATTATGGCTGGTACAATTTTTATCTTCAAATTCGAACGTTCTTATTTGCATTTGTAATTTTCTCGGAGTACCTTTTCATTTTCCTTTCAGACATCAGCGATAGGAAAGAAAACGCTGTCCGTAAATTGACTTTGTTGTCTTTGCTACCGAGATCACGAGCCAAGAGGCTTTTAAATCAGTGGTTACATCCAGTAAGTTTCATGATACGAGCTCGTGAACACGCTGCTAACATATTATGCGGCGAAGTGTGTCAGAATCGTGGTAGAACTTCGCAGCACAAAAATCATCATAACGGTAATTATAAATAACCGGCAATAAACTACACATCGATGCGACAGCTTGTAAAGTAAATTCTTCGCAGGTTTGGCTGCATTTCCTTCCGCGGATCGTTTATCACCGCTAGATACATTCCTCGATTTACTTACTGCAAAAGGTATAAATTTGGAACTTAAATAATTGCAGAATTTCGTTCCGATCGTGAAGTGTCCTTATTCTTACAGCTAGTCTAACCGAATTGGATTTCGGTCTACTTATAGAAGCCACGGTGACGTCTACAGAAGATTTTTTATAGGTAAATGTATTCTAGTTAAATGTTAACTATAACTAAATGCAACAATTATTTATAGATTTCTTTTTATAATCAAAAACAGTAATGCAAATAATTAAAATCGTACGAAGTGCCATTATCTTCCAAGTACTTATTATGTATGACTGGTTTTAAACGTATTTTATAAACTTCTACATGTCCCTTTTTTAAATTATACATAATAGATTTGTACGTAGTTACAACATAACTTACATTTTCTATAACTGAATGATTTAACTCTGCAGAATTTGATGTCCTTAATATATATCGGTCGTAATATTGTTTCGAAGTTGAATAAATTAATATTTGATATACATCACTAGCATAGTAGTCACCGTTTTGTATGCTTTGAAGGTATATGTATATGCTTTCTAATTTTTAATTATAATATTTATTCAACTCCATTTAAGGACTGATTAATTCGTGATATTACTTGTTACTACATATTTTACAGCAACTGTACTCTTGTTTTGATTGAGCTTGAATTTGTATTATTATATTGTTATAGTTTTATATTGATGTTAATAGTCGGTTGATCGAAAACTATGTGATGTTGGACATTTACTTACATTAATCTTAATTAGAAGTAATTTTTATAAGTTTATGTGCAATGCATACGTTACGTAAGTTACTTAATTTAAATATTTTTTTAAGTTAATGTAAACTGAGTTATAGAAAATTGTTGATTTTGTAAAACCGCAATATATATCGAAATTTAAATTTTTATCAATGTAATAAGTAAGATCGACGGTGTGATTCAAAAAGTTTATATCACGCTTTATCATTACGTAAGATGTATTGTTAACGAACTTACATATCAAAAGATATGTACAAAAATATTACAGTATTAGTAATTATATTTGTGTAGAACTGAATATAAATGTTTTAAAAACAGTTTTGGTTGCTTAATATTTATATGTACATACGTACATTCCATCCTTTTTATTGTTAAAGGTAACAATATTATTCGAATCTAATTAAGTTATTTAATCACTTCTCTGTACATTATATTTAATGTAATTAATAAGTTATACACGATTACTGGAAGCGATTCTTGTTCCAATATTGTGATAAAAAGTGCCGTAAAACAGTATCGCCATCTAATATCAGGGATTCGTACTACTAAAATCGTGCCAGAATCACAGAATGTTAGAGGAGGTATCCGGAGTACAGGTTCCCCTACTCCTGTTACTCCTGATACGCACTACCTCGATTATTCGCTAATAACTATTTTTCTGGGATTAAAATATGAACTTTTAGAATTGAAGAATGTAGTATAGACCTTTGGCAACATTCAAGAATAGTTTTCATAGCTATTCCGCCCGTAATTAACAAGTTATTAACGCATCGTGCACCTAGTGCCTGTTCTGATAACATTGGCTTTCACTTTATTCTCCAGCTAGTAACAATACTAATTTAATACTTCGTTCGCGGTTTGGAGTCTAGTATATCCTAGTATTTTCCTGAATCAGAACAAAGTATAAATAATAAACTCGTAAAATATTATTGAATCCGAATACGAATTTGAGAAATAGCTTGCGAATACAGTCTTGCCACAGTCACATGGTTTGTGTATGCGCACTTTCTTTGTAACTAAACGAACATCCGGTTTTTTAGTGGAACGGACAACAGCTTTGGAAAAACAGATCTTCGAATTTTCAAAATGGTGTCCAAAAACTGTTTTTAATGTAAATTTAAATCCGAATCTACTTGTCGGATCTACGAGTCCGTTTATTGGTTGGCCCCTGCGCTCCAAAAGAAAGGACCAATCGCGTTTGACCAACGTCGACGACAGTCGCATTTACGGCTCTAAATGGAAACCCAACATACGCATTACTAGACCCCCTCCCTTCTCATCAAGAAGTATATACCATCAAATACATATTACGTACTAGCAGAATAACATCGTCAGCGGTCAGCCATTGTCGTGAGATGTGAAGATTTTTCTCAACGTTATATATTCGCTGCAGTAGTAAAACAATCGTTGTATATCAGATTTAAACCGTTCACGCTGAAATGCACACGATTCCGGAATTAGGCACCAGCGTGCCGGCCTTCCTTGCCAAACTTTGGAAGCTGGTTGAGGATCCCGAAACTGACGACCTTATTTGTTGGGCACCTGTAAGTACATACTTATTATTTAGTTTGCATGCATTCGCATGATATTTTTACGCTCGCCGTGCAAACGATTCCAACAGATAGTTCGACGGCTCGCTTTCACAACGATAATAAGTTCGTTGTAACGCCTCGCATGTAATCGACTTAAACGTAAGCGAAACGTTGACCTCCGCGTACACATTTTAACGTAACAACCTATATTTTGCATGTACCCGACATTGGTGTAATTTATTCCGTGCTTAGTTGCGCCATTGTATACATACATATATATATATATATATATATATTACTTTATATATATGTATGTATATATTATACTATTTCAACTACAAATTCTGCTTTTTTCATTGAATGTCAAGCATTTTGCTTCTTACAAATTGTTTTTGACCATGGATAACAAGCAAACTTGGCATTACAAAGATGAGTACATTTTTCTTCAAATTGAAATAAGCAATAACAATTTAATGCAACACTTAAGTCTTGTATTTATAATATTGTTTAGTATCGAATAAAATATAAATTTAAATAATAGTAGGTTTTAGTAGCAACACTGTTTAGAATTCTTTCAAATAGTTTATATTCTCATCTTAGTTTATCGAGAAACGAGCATTTTGTAATGTATTTTGAAACTATAAAACTATATGCAATTTGTTTATTTTAGAATGGAAGAAGTTTTTTCATTAGGAATCAGGCACAATTCGCCAGAGAATTGTTGCCACATTATTATAAACACAATAATATGGCCAGCTTTGTTCGTCAGTTGAATATGTGTAAGTAGCAATGAATAAGATACAATTGGTATCGTATAAATGAAACAAATTCTATGTTTTATCAAATATATACATACGTTTTAGATGGTTTCCACAAAAAGGTTTCGGTTGAATTGGGTGGTTTAAAGTGTGACAGGGATGAAATGGAGTTTGCACATCAGTTCTTTTGCAAAGGGCATCCATATCTTGTAGAACACATTAAAAGAAAAGTAAGAACTTTGGAAATTTTCATAGATATCGGTCTTTTTAATGGTGGTCTATTATGATTCGTTTAGATTGCATCCAGCAAAGGACAAGATCCGACGCTCGCGCCTATGAAACCCGAATTAATGAATAAAATGCTAACAGAAGTGAGAAGTATGAGAGGCCGTCAAGAACATTTAGATTCGCGGCTCGGAGCTATGAAAAGAGAGAATGAAGCATTATGGAGGGAACTTGCTATGCTTAGGCAAAAACACACGAAGCAACAACAGATTGTTAACAAACTAATACATTTTTTGGTCACTTTTCTGCAACCTTCAAGAGGTAGCGGACTCTCTGTTAAGAGAAGGTACCCATTGATGATCGACGACTCTAATCGTCAACGTAGCAAACAATCTAAATTATCAAAGGTAATTGCAACCACTACCTTTTAGTAATCATTTTGTACAGGGCGATTCTTCCGCCGGTTGACTCGAAAGGAATGCCGCCGTTTCTATTACTCTCTTACTTACTCTCTTATTATTCTGTTTCTCTCTTCAAATAGAGTTGTCGACCGATCGACGAAGCAACGGCGATATATCGACCTCTTCATCGAATCACGACCGAACAAACACGGAGTTATTACGGCCGTGTTTAGACTTGAGCATTCCTTTCGAGTATACCGGCGGGAGAATTACCGTGTATATAACAAAATATTTTTATTTGCAGTCTCAGGCGTCGCCTACAGGGCCTGTAATTCATGAACTCGACGCATCTGAACCAGACTTAGATTCAGAATATATTGTTGCAGAGTATGTTAAATCTGAAGTTACAAAATTTTTTTTATTCAAATTTAACGTACATTCTATAGAACATCTAAATAATATGTAAATGTCCTCTTTACATTTAGAATGCTAGAAGGACATCCAAGTCCATCTATTCAAAGTCCAGAACATAACAATGCATCAGTAATAGACGATAACAATATGGAAACTGTTCATTTAATTCACGATCCAGTCCAGTTACAAGATGAAATACAACTGATCAACCCACAGGAAATTGATACAAGAAAAAAACGCGGCTGTAAGGGTAAAAAAAAGTAAGTTGAACGAAATTATTATGGTGCAATTTTAGAATAGATTTGCTAATTAAACAAAGTGACGTCTATAACTGAGTCATGTACAATCTTTCAATTTTGGAATTATAATAAGATGGAGTTTTGCATGATGGATACAATAATATTCCAACGACCGTTATTCTACGAAGAAGTGTTTTTGTGTTTTCATTTGTGCTTGCCTTTCATTAAAATTAAAAAGAAAAATGACAAAACAGATCATTTATAGAGAAATCTCTTTGTACATTCCAATATACTATCCATGCATGGAATGTAGTAATTAATTAACTTAACGAAACTACAATTTTATTCTATTTACTTCTATGAAAGATATAGGGGCATAAATTTCGGCGTTTCATACTATACTACGATGGTGTCACCTACACTACCGCTCATAAGTATGTGGACACTTCCTTAGTTCTTATATCTACCTGAAAAAAATTATGATATCTTTGGTAAATTTGATTACTTTGCATGTATTCTAGCTCGTACAGTATTAGAGAAGATATTTGAGTAATAATTTATTAAATATATCACCGATAACTATATAAAATTATTATATTTCCTTTTCGTCTACGTATCCACCGCGTGCTTTTATGACCGCGTTTACCGGTCGTGGCATCCTGGCTACTAACTTTTTCATTATTTCTGTATCAATGAGGTTCCACTCAGAATGTAAGATTTCCCACAAATGTTTTTCTGACTTGGGACATCGTTTTCTAACTTGTCTATCTATGTGATCCCATAGTTTTTCTATGGGATTCAAATCGGGCGATTGGGATGGCCATACCATCATTTTCACTTCAAAATTTTCTTGCAATTGCAGTAAATAATTTCTACATATTGTAGAAGTGTGCTTCGGGTCATTGTCGTGCATAGATGTAAAATTGTGGCCAATTATGCGGTGTCCAGATGGAATTGCATGTTCTCTCAGAATGTTCAAATACCCTTCTTTTCTTAAAATTCCGTTTATTTTTGCTAAATCTCCAGTCATATTATTCCCAAAGCATCCCCATACCATCACAGAACGACCCCCATGCTTAACTGTGGCCACTACACAATTGTCATTTAGTTTTTCAAAAACTTTTCGGCGCACAAAAACACGTCGCTTGGAGCCAAACACTTCGAACTTCGATTCGTCAGACCATAACACCTTGTCCCAGTCTTCCAGTGCCCAATTTTTATGGCATTTAGCCCACTGAAGCCTCTTTTTCTTATTTTGTTTTTTTAAGAATGGTTTTTTCACTGCAACACAGCCTCTAAGACCGCCCTCCTTAAGACGCCTTTTCACTGTCGAAACCGAAATTGTGCCGTCCCTATAATTATTAATTTCTGCAGTTATTTCGGGGGCTGTGTCTCTCCTATTTCTTTTACTTATGGTTATAATATGGCGATCTTCTGCCTCAGTTGTTTTTCTGGGTCTTCCAGGTCTTTTTACAGAGGAACAAACTCCTGCAACACTGAACCTATTGATGCTGTATCTCACACAAGACTTCGAAACTCCTACTTTTTCGGCAATATTCCTTATAGAATACCCTTCTTTCGATAAAGTAACTATTTTCGAACGCATTTCGACGCTTATTTCGCTTCTTTTCGTGCCCATCGTGCTCTTCCAAGTATTTAAACTGAACTGATCTAGGCAGATCACCAGAGTGATCGCTGTGCTCTTATCTAACAGTCTTTCGTTTCGAATTACATTTCCAAATGTTTATGCTACTCCGAAGAAGGCAACAGACCTCACTCAAGTGGTGCAGCCATCGTAAACTGCGAGAAAATAGCCTTACAAACCGTACGCACGCAACGAAATATAACGCAGCTTTCCACCCATCGGATAGACTTTTATTTATATAAGTAAATTGCATAACTAAATTGTTAAATTAGTACTACTAGAATACATTACATACATATACCTAATAGAATTTAGCAACAAACATTATTTAATAATCGAAATATACATAATATATCACAAATTTCGTGAATGCGTTAAGTGTCCACATACTTATGAGCGGCAGTGTACATACAAACACAAATTAAGTTACACTTACCTGCAAGGTGTATCCTACACAATATACATCGCAACTTGATTAATTTACACAAAACAGAAAACAGAAATTTTTTTTTTCGTAACTTTTTCATATCTCTCATGACATTAATTAGTTTTCAATGACACTTATATCATCACAATTTAAATATTGCCAGGAGGAAAAACAAGGTGCCTGTCAAAATTTTGATCCCATCGACGAAGAATGGAGAACAACCGAGGTTAACATTTTTCTCTTGTCGTAATTTGGTGTTGGTGTTCATACTACTCTAAAAGTTACTTTAAACGATATCGCAATTTTGCTTAGTTCTATTTCTTTTTGCATGAACATTCAGTAATATTGCGATACTATTTTATTTAGAAACCTTTCCGACTTAGACCGTCGATACGAAGATGATTTTCCATTAAACTTTGAATGTTTCTCAACATTTGTAAAATCCAAATATATTGTTTCTGTAGCTCATTAATTTTATAAGAGAAGTTTTGTTAATCCTTGGTTAACTTGCTTTTGGATTAAATATTAGTGTCTATTCAACCTTTTTATTAGTTACATCATTCGATATTCATATCATTAACAGCATTACTTTATAATTCATGCTTAACTTATGCCTCTAAGTATATTTATCGATAAATTAATCGTTATTATAATATAAGTATTAATTTATTTCAATGCAAAACATGGGTCTGTTTTACTGTAGTTAAATTTAAATTAATATATGTACATCGAATGTTAATCGATTGTTAATCAAGATACAATTTATAATACATGTTGTATGTTTAAATTTATTCTAAGCACGATTGTGTTGTGATTTGGCAAAATTAATCATGCCCTTTGTATTGTGATTAACAGTTGTTTGTACTATATTTGATGAATTAGCAATATGTGCTTATTATATAGTTTATACGATAATTGCTTACACTTTTCGATTTGCAAATTATATAAGAATTTACTCTGCTTGATTTTTCGTTTTAAAGTTGCTATTTACAGAAGGGGTTCAAAAAAAATAGTATACTAGTTTTTTAAAAAAGAAAGTTTCTAATACTCTTCAATTTTATTATTTCTAATGCATATACGTTTTCTACATATGCATTACTTCTCTCTAACACTATTCTTTTCCTCTTCGTTTTTATAGCTTACCTCTAAACAAATTTGATTACCATGTTACAAAACAACTAGTATCGTAACAATAATTTCACTGCATATTTAGAAGCATGTTAATGTATAATGCTTTCAATACTTCTGTGTGTGCTCTTGCAATACTTCTATTGATCAGAACTGTAGTCAAGAATGCGTTCAAAAGCAGATTATGACTTTTCAAGTTAATAAAACCTATTAAAAGCAGATTAAGGCTACAACTTAATTCAAGATGATGAAAATTGGCAAACTGCTTGTTTCACTATTTTAGGGAAGAAACACATTTATTTGAAATTCCGCTTGAAGAATCACCGGTCGAGGCTATCACTTTATTGGAAAATAAAAAAATTCCAACGCCTGTACCTGTGGCGTCTGTGCGTAGCTCAAAACTTGCAGCCATGGCAGCCAATATGAACAAAGCAACATATGCAGAGCAAGAGCTCAATTTGGGAAATTCTGTGGACTTGGAAGAAGATACTCAAGAGAGCAATTTAAACCTGGTGAAACTGGAGAACATTTTAATAGGGACAGATATTGATGGAGAGAATGTCAAGGACAATGAGAACATAGAGTATAATGAGACTAACAGCAACTCTGAATCTGACATGAACGATAACACTTTCAATAAAATTAACAAAGCTTATAGCAATGCCACAAAGGATAATCAAAGAATTCCAAATGCAAACGGAAAAAAGAAAATCTTGGAGCAAGAAAGATCCAATGACAGCGGAGCAGACTCTAGCCTAGATTTATCTTTGAGTTGCTTGAATTCCTCTGACATGTCTGATGCTACTTACAGGTTAGGATCAATGTAAGTTCAACATAGAACACCGGTAAAAAAAAAAATGTTGAATGCATCGCATTCCACTTATCTATAGTGGAAATCCTTAATCAGAAGACAGAGGTGGGAGCTAACTAATTTATCTGTTTTTAATATGATTTGACTGATTTTGAATGATGCCTATTAATAAGCACACAATTTACTAATAATAATGTGTGTTATCTTTCTATCAGATCTTGTAAATTGTTGCCTTTGATCTAGGAATTTCACGATATATTCATATAGCTTGAAAAATAACGATCCCTCGATATCATTGACTATATCATTCTTTGCCATTAATTTTAATGATATTTTTATTTAATCTAAGGACTTGAAAAATCCAATATTCAACTTTCTTCAGTTGAAAATAAACTTTTTTAACATTAATTCGAATAGAAAATATATCGACGGTAAATGTGATTTAAGTCTGTATGTGTATAATTTTTTGTTTTAATCGGTGAAGTTGTAAATTAGATATTTGAGATGTGTAGTACCTTACATATATGTTTAGTATACGTGGTAATTATAATACAATTTTTACAGGAACATTGAAATGCTCCATCCCGATTTCAATGAAATTTTGTACGTTAATAGAATAGTCAAAAATAAGAAATTTTAACAAAATATCCCTTATTTTTGGCTGTTCTAAAAAACTAAAATTTCTTCAAAATTGGTAGGAAGAGAGGGACACTTAACACATATGTTTTGTTAGATCTTTCGTTATATAATTATTTGTGTATCCATTAATATAGTAAGTGCTACGCGGTGTGGCCTGTCTGTTTTATACCGCTGTCTAAATTTAGAAAACTTTGAATTAATCTATTTTTATTCATTATTCGCGCCAAAAAAAAATGAAAGAAACGGCGGTATAACGCATAGTGGTTTCGATAGGTCAGCCTGCATTGTGCTTACTATAATTACGCGTCAAATCCCCTGGTTTTCAAAAATCAATTTGAGAAATATTTTTAGAATTGTATATTGCAGACTTGCCAATTTTATATCAGTATTATCAGATACTAAGCAACCTTCTTTTGCGCGCAACAGTTTCTCTGGAATTGATTGCACAAGCAGCAATGCCATAAATCAGTTTTTTATATCAATTTCGTTTGTAAAACAATTTGAAAATTCAAAATAAGTATTCACCTTTTATAGAATTACCAACTGTCATTTTTTTACACATAAATTAAAAATTTATTATGTTAATGGGATATAACTATAATAGTTCAACTTCAAAGTAACATTCATAAACAAATATTACGAATATTTATTCACGCTCGAAAGACACTGGATTAAATTAATTTTTTTAGTTTAAAATAAAAAGAAAATACGTAATTTGGGTCTGCTTGTGCTATCATTCAAAACAAATAGAAAGATTGTACTTTTCAGAAAAAGGCTTTACAATGCTTTCTTAGTTCGTTCATGAACGTATGACTAAACTTGTGTGAAATTATAGTTCTTTTTTATTTACAACGATTTACCTTGAATAATTGTCTGTAGGGAGGAAATGGATAATCATCTCGAATTGATGCAGACAGATTTGGACAATCTCCGTGAAATTCTACGCGGCGAGGGTTACAGTATCGATGCAAACACGCTCCTGGGAGTAAGTATTTGACGCTTTTTATATATATATTTGTATTTCGGCGAAAATTTCATACTTGATGCGACTGTAGAAAGTACAATGCCAGATAATGCATTTACGAAATAAATATAATAAAACATTTTGTTTAATTGATAAGAAAAGTAACGTAGGGCATATGTATTTGCTTATAGTTAATTGAAGCGGTACGCAACACACAATAAAGCATACCATCTGCAAAGGTCATTCATCTTGAAAGCCTTCTGCCCTCAAAGCGTTACAAAGTATTTTTAAAGTTTTCTTCCTATTACTAACTATCTCCATTTACAGTTATTTGGAGCAGATGATCCAATGTCATTCGGTATGCCTGTTAATCCAGAATTAAATCCACATTCTGACAAAGAAGACAATGATGACGCTAATGGTAAGATCTTTAATTGTTCGTTTCGTTAATTTCTTTTATCCTATTGACGATTTTCATGTCATTACACGTATTAATTACATTTTTTAATGGAGACATAACGGACTTAATTATTTTTCAGCAGCAGAAAACATTAACGGAAGTGGTGGAGAACTTATGGCATACAATCCGACACAAAACTTGCTAGATTTCGATGATGACATGATGTTCTTAGATGCTACATCGCCTGTAACCAATACATCAGGTGATGTAACTGCAAACAATTTGTATACATCGGATCCTTTAGATTTGGAGGATAACAAAGCTTCGCTCCTCGAGTCCTTAAGAAACGATGTAAACACTCCATAAAGTCTCATTCCTTTGGTGAGTCTCTTGATCTGATTTAGGTTTAATATGTAATATGTTTCTCGTAAAATAACAGTAGAAACGACAATAGAAGATAGTATTTTATACATTAATATGCAGTCTTTACATTGTTGCGTTAATTTGATAACCGTTATCAGGTCGTATTATAATTTGATATCTTTCAATGTAGTTGGTCACTTAACATTGGTCACTTAATTTTCATTGAGGATTACGGTTTCTTGTCGAAATTGTTCTTCTGCCAGGTTCAGTCTCTTTTTCAAAAAGAAATTGTCTCAGGACAGATTTTTTTGCAGGTTCAGATCACTGTTGCACCCAATGCTTTGGTTTCAGTATGTTTTATTCTCGATGGATCATCATGAGCATGCTTTCTCACTTTCTCTGTCGGTGTATTTTGATGACCAAATAAGCAACGAGCTTGTGTGGTGTATGAAACAAAAAAGTACCTAATACTTGAGGAAAATGCGGTCTCAGTATCATGTGGTCTATCGAGTGATCCCGTCGATTCGCAGAGGACATTTTGGCTAAAATCTATCGGCGCATAAAATCCTCTGGATTTGCTGCTATAAACCGATACAATTTAATTGCTACAGTAATTTTTTTTTTTTTATACAAATCATCGCCACGTTGTGCTTCAATCTACTTGAAACGACGCGAAATAATCAAATTGTTTATTTACTGATACGATTTGTAAATTCACAATTGTTTGGCAATTCCATCGAGCGTGTTAAAAGCACTGGAGCACGTTACAGTGGCTAACAGTTGTTGTTGATCGTACAATGTAACTAAAGTTCCTGCGCGTTTAATCGCAAAGATTTATCTTTTTTTTTTTATATACAATTTCTGTTTCCTATGTATATCTATCAATAATCCAGAAATTACATAAATGTGATAGAACAGGTCGAATATTATAGCTCATGTATTGGTTGTATCCGAGTATTTTTTTATGAATGATGTATAATAGTGATAGAGTCATTTGTCATCTGTGATTTCTTACGACCTTGTTTATTATTTACGGGAATTCGAGTGCACCTTCACTTAAGTGTCTCATCTACGTAAATAGTTTTAAAAAGTATATACGAAATTCGTATTTTTTGTACTGAACTACTAGTCTGAAACAGAAATGTCTCATATCTGACATTCAATTCAAAAAATAATTATGTTAAAGCGTCCGTTAATCTAGTAGATTAAGGAATGTATACATAAAGATAAACGTTAGACGCTATTTTATATTTTTATATTTTTAAGATAAATGATATTTGTATATCTGTGGACGTCTCGATTCATTGTAAAGCTACTTTCTTTATTTCTCTTCCATATTTATAAATGTTCACTAAAGTTGTAATGAAATTGTATGAATTTATTAAACATAAGTAATTTATCGTCTTGGTTTTATTGAGATATGAAACGTTGAAGGTAAATAAGAAACGCATATCAAAGCAAAATATTCCAGTTTGCCGATGTGTGCTTGTTATCCTGTAAAAAATAATACGACACATTTTAATTTTTATGTTAGGAAATGCATGTCTGAAATGTGTTTCGATTCTTGTATGTAGTCATAAATATTAAAGGAAATTACGATACATTTGTTGCGTTTTAAGGAGATATAGATGAAAATAATTATATTCATACAAATATATGGTATGAATGCTATTAAATAAATATCTCAAAATGCTGTTCACTTGAAAATCTGTAGTTATTGTGTCTATACTCGTGAATCAGTATATTTGTTGTATATACACATTTTTTCATTAGTTTATTTGGTCTACAAGTTATAATCCCAAATTTAGCAGTGATTGTCAAAAAGTACGAACATATACTTTTTAAAAGGTATTCTGTAAAAATTAGATGGAAAAAGTTTCAAGTAAATCTGAATCATATGCAAGGAATCCTTTGTAAGGAAAGTCGTACTTAAATTATATACAGACTTTTTGTCCTTGTAGTAACACAATTGATTATATATTTTTTCAGCTGATTAGTGACTTACAAGTATTCTGTATCAAACTAATCTCCTTAATCTACTAAAAAAAATTATGTAATATATGATCAAAGAAATGTGTTAAAAAAAGTTAATTTAGCAAAATCTATGGATGGATCATTGATATGGTTCATTGCAGTCAAAATTAAATAAGGTATTTAATTTAAGTGACTTTATTTACTCGTAAAGAAAGAAGCTAACGGTTTTTATGATTTTACGTTTCGAAGTATATTATGTATTCCCCCTAAGCATGCAGAGGATTTCTTTTCTTTTTTAAGGATAATTGATCATTGACTAAGGATACTCGCAAGAAGCTCTTTCACGATAGAGCGACTGATGCTTTCTCAGATTTTTGCTTTACGATTCGCAAATATATATAATTGTTTTTTTATTTTAGCCTTGGAAGAAAGACTGCTGGATTTTTAATTGCCTCGTTGGTAATACCTTCGTTTTAATTATCAGTATGATGCTCTGAACCCTGTGACAAATATGTAATATGCAGAGAGAAAAGTAAGAGTTAAGATACGCACAGAGGTTTTACTTAAAAATTCCTTGAAGGAGAAAGTACAGCATAAAAAAAAAACCAAACGTGTACCCTAGATTGGAAGAAACATTTATTTTCACGCTGATTAAACTACGTAATAAACATATTATAATCTCTTTGTAAAAATAGTGTTGCGAAAACGTATCAAGGGGATAAATTCCTGTTTTCACTGATTTGTATATATTTATGCAGAAGATTATCAATCACATCGATAAAGAATTCTGCAGGATGTTTAGTAAAAAATGTCCACCGACGGAACAGTAACATTTTTTTACATAATGTGTGTAGAGCACAGTATTAAGAAGTGAATATTACATGGTGCGACGTCTATGAACGTACATAAATATATGTATGTAATGAATCTATACATATATATATATATATACACACATACAGAACAGTGTATTGAAAGTATAAAATTTATTTAACATGTCATTATACTTTTCTTATCTATTGTTTCACTGTGGTATAAGGTTAATTCAACAAAAGTGATAGTACAAGATAAGATTTCAGTGTCCTCATTCAAACACTATCACTACTTTATTGTTGTGTGTAAGATTCTGTTGCTTTTAATTGGTGATGATCTTTCGTATCTGATCCTTTATAAACGATATTTAGTTAATTTTTTAATGCATTGAAAACTTCGTGTGAAGTTAATGTTACTGCATACTTATAATGGATTACGTTAATAACTCCAGAACGTTATTATTAAATAGTCATTGTAGTAATGTAAAATCGAGATTTAAGCGAGTTAAATTAAAATGAAAAAAAAAATGATAAAAAAGAGAGAGAGAAGTGATACAAATGTAACCATATGAGTTTTTGATGGCTACTATAGAGGATTAATATTAATCTACTAATACTGGTAGAACTAATTATTTAGTAGGATATTTTGGCTATCAAAATATTTAATTGTATTTTATAGTAGAGTATTTCGACTATCAAAATATTTAATTCTATATTTAGTTTGTAAGTAATTTCAGTTATCAAAGAAATAAAAGCTTAACATTCTTTCCTATTCGTTGTAAGATACAAATCTTCTATATTCGTTCAGTTAACTATTTTTGGGCAATATATAGTAAAGATATTGCTTATGATCTTTCATTTAACACTGAAATCTTGGTCTTGAACCTTTAACAGATAAATTGACAGTTTAAGTTTGTGTACACCCGAAGATAATATAATCCATAAATGGTACATTGTATCTTTATTACGTTAACATGTTACTTTAATTTAGCTATAAGTAGATTTTTTATATTCATTTGCCAAGATAAAGTTTGTACTATATTATTAATTCATAGAGAAACTTAACATATGTTTATGTAATTCCATATACAGTGAAATCTCAATCATACATATCTTATGTATTTTACTATTTTCCATTTTGAAATTGATTTCAAACACATTTTATAGTTTTGTAGATTTAATCCAGAGTTAAATTACTTATGTATGTGTTAGCATATCTTATTGTTTAACTATTAAGCGTCTATCATTAAATTTATAATACACGATATAATGATTTCAAAAACCCTTCTTTTTCTTTTTCTAAATGTTATAAAAAAAAGTTTGTTATCGATTTTCTATGAACTTTTTATTGTACCGATAAAAAAGTACGATCTGATACGGGAAATTAAAAGCCGCGAAGTTCTCGAATATTAAAACTGTTTTCAGTTCAGAATTTCTGGAGAACCTTATGGAACTTCGACTTAATTTGACTGTTCCTAGAATGTTATTTTTTATTTATTCATGAGGGTTCAAACTACAAATTATATTGAAATAAAATAAAAATGTTTATCTTGTACAAAAATATAGTCGATACCACATTGTTTGTACGTATGAAATTTTGTGATACATTAAAAGTTTTGTAAAAAAAGATAGAATTGAACGGATAATATCCGAACGACCATTTCACATTTACCTGATTATGATTGCATATTTTGCTACTGATTATAAATTACCAGTCCTAATACAATTAAACAGTTTAATCAAAGACTAAGACGTATCCAAACATCGCGAAAAAAAAAGGAATACCGAAAAAAAATTGGCACTCCTACTTATTTTATTGTATCACGAATGAAAATTATAATCATATTTTCGAAACCGCAATCTTCACCGAAATTGCTTTATTCAACACGAGTAGACTTTTAACTACTATCCAAAATAATGTTAAATTTGTTTGTTTTTAAATAAAATTTAGAAATTGTTTATATAATCTTATTATGACTATATATCCCAATTCAACCTATCTATCTTTTAATCTGCATATTAAATAATAATTAATAAATACTTTGTAAATCGTACATTGTAACTCTTTAAGGGTTTACATACCTTTATTAGAATTAAGAAAATCAATTTTTCAGGTCACAATTAACGAAGATATCTTTGGCACTGCAAAAGTTGTTTCAAAAAGCACCATTCAGGAGGACACCTATAAAAATCACCTTTGACAATATTTTCCAGACATTAAACATCCACAATTAGATATTAAATACTTTCAGAGAATTGCAACAATTGAGGATATTCACAATTTTCTTTCCACTTACATTACAAAGTACATATTCCATTATTTCAAATAATAATTCTTTAATTTTATTTTGAATTATTGGTCATAGCTATCAACAGCAGCCTCTGAGCCAATCAGCAGCCAGTTAGGCTCCGATTGGTCGACAGTCGTCTCAATAAGTGTATAAAAATCGAGCCCCCTGGTGCGCCCGCGGGAAACATCGTTCAATTACCAAGCAAGACGGAGCGAGAAGAGAGACGAGGAATTTCATTGAAGATTTACATTTAATCAAGATCGAAAATGGTCAAGCGAGAAGAGTGGCGCCTAGTTTAAAGAGATCTTTCAAGGACAGCTGTCAAAAGAGACCACTCTGGTCTCTTTCAACACGAATAAAATTATATTATTCGCGAAGGCTCCCATTCACGTTCTTTATCGATTTTCCGAAGTTGCGTGAAGCGCTGACCACACGTAACATGTGGCTCGTGCGATAGGATATATCGGCTTTCCCCACCACTCCGTTAAACGCTAAGGAAATTCGTCGTTACTAGTGTCGCCGTCGATGCACTCAATTATGCCAAATCTGGCCACACTTACATGCTTCATGAATTAAATTTTCGTTATACATATGTATAAAATATTTAATCGAATGCGAGTTATTCGATACCTGTTTTAATCGAACGTTAAAGCGAATATATAAGTAACTTATTAATCAAGTGGCTCCAGTGCTACGTTTATAATTATCACATAAATTTTCTTCCAAATCGTTCGAAAATATCGTACCTACAAATTTAAAAATATGTCTGAACACAGCGATGACATGGAAAAGGGTAATTTTTTATATATTGACAATCGTTTACATTGGGAAAGTTCTATTTTTCTCTTATATCGTTCAGATTTGCTCCATGCATTTTGTTCGTTACAATACCGAAAGGAGAAATCTTTTTTTTTATTCTGTTTCATAAAAATTGTTTGGTTACTTGGAATATAAAGTTCTTACGAAATAATAGATTGTAGAGTTTCTCCTTCGAATTTTCTATTCCTATAAACATTTGTGTTTCCTTTATAATATACAAATACATGGTGTTATAAGATGACTGAAGGTAATACAATTATGTGGCGGAGGTTAACTGTCATCCATAGAAGCACTGAATTTTAGTAATTAAATAAAATAGTTAAGTGAATTAAGATATTTAGTACCAAGTAGATAGAGCTGATATTGCACCCAAAAAAATATAGCGAAGAAAGAAAGAAAGAAAGAAGATATTTAGGTATTGTTCGTCATAATTTAGGAGTTTTTCAATCATCGAATTAGCACATATTTTCATGTAATTGCTGAATCACGTATACGAACTGATGGGTTAGATTACAATCGTAAAATCACTATGTATTTACAAGCTAATATGTTTTTAATTCGTCGTTACGTTTATACGTACGTTCAAAGATGTATTTTTTATTCAAGTCAGTACAATATATTTATTCTTTTGAATGATTTGCAGGAATATTTTTTCACAGAATCTAATATTGTAAATTGTTAGCAAATGCATGTTACATTGTTTGGGACTAATAAAAACAAAACATTTTTTATGTATAAACGTTTAACAGATATATTCTTTTCCATTATATTTTAAATTAAGTATTAATAAAAATGTAATTTCCTTATTTATATTAGAGAAGAAACCTGATGACGAAGCAGCACATAGTGCGTCAAAACCAGAGGAAGCGGAAGAGTCAGATATGGAGAAGATTCCTAAATATTTAGCAGAAAAGTTAAGACTTTTTAAAGATTACTTGGATCATTCAAAGCGAAAAGTAATTCCTGAACTTAGCGTAGATGGAGTAGCAGAATATATAAAAGAAAATGAAAACCTTAAAGTTATTACCATGGCTGGAGCTGGCATCTCCACATGTAAGTTTTTATAAATATTATTAAGTTTGTTCTTGTTCTCTTGTTTTACAAACATGTTCTAAAATATATAATTGTTTAATATTTGCAGCTGCAGGAATTCCTGATTTCCGATCACCATCTAGTGGCCTTTATCACAATTTAGATAAATATAATTTGCCTCATCCTCAAGCTATTTTCGAATTGAATTACTTCATGGAAAATCCAGAACCATTTTTTAAGCTTGCACGAGAATTGATGCCTGAAGGCATTAAGCCTACACTTTCCCATTATTTTATTCGTCTTTTATGGGAGAAAGGCTTGCTTTTGCGACATTATACACAAAATATTGATACTTTAGAGAGATTGGCTGGCTTACCTTCAGAGAAATTAGTAGAAGCTCATGGAACGTTTCATACTGGACACTGTCTCAAGTGTCGAGCACCATATACGTTTACATGGATGAAAGGTGAAAACACGACGATTATAATGGTCGCGCGGTCTATATTGTAATATTTATTTACAGAGAAAATTATGGATAATACCATACCAAAATGCGAAGAATGTGACGAGGGTGTAGTAAAACCAGATATAGTATTTTTTGGAGAAATGTTATCCGAACGTTTTCATTATCTTATTGATCGTGATTTCGGACAAGCAGATCTTTTAATAATTATGGGATCTAGTTTGGTTGTCCAACCTTTTGCATCCTTGGTACACAGGTGAATAGTATGTCAACAATGGATCATAAAATCATTTAGTCTAGTTTGCAGATTTTTGGTTCAATTACAATTTTGTTCTTTTCCTCAAGGGTGCGTTCTAATTGTCCGCGTTTACTTATCAACAAGGAAAAAGTGGGTTTGAATCGTGATTGTCTATCACGACTTCTAGGATTGCGAGAGGACTCGGTTTTTAACCAGCGAGCCTTTCAAGGTGGATGCGATATCACCTGGTTAGGCGATTGCGATGCTGGTTGTCAATTGTTAGCTGAAAAATTGGGTTGGGCTGTACGTTTCGCTTATTGATTTATTACCTGACACGATTCAGAAATTAAAACTAAATCGTATTTAAATCTGGGTTTTTTCAGGACGAATTGACCGATCTGATGAAGAAAGAACACGAACGATTGGATGCAGAAGGTACCAGCAAGGATTGATTACATTAACCCTTAAGTGGATTATTAGGGCCGCTGCAGCCCTCCGTAAGTTTAAACTAATAATTCTTTAATACATGTCAATGTAATTATTTGAAAATTTATGAAATCCTCCATTAGCTCATTATGTTTTAAATGCTTTAAAGAAAAGTTGATTTCCATTTATCAATTTTGTAAAAATGAACGTTAAGTAAAATAATTCAGTTGTTGGACTTTCGGGTAAGTTTTATACGTGTGACGAAAGAGTGGTGTACTTATCAAAAGACCATTCTCCCACAAAGTTTGACCGGCTTGAAATGTGTTGCAAAGGACAATATTTTGTACAACTTTTTCCTATACATATAATAAATGATCGACTTCACTTTCCAAGATATTTGCGAAAAACTTTCGGTATCATTACACTGAATTCGATCACCTATTATACGTATAGGAAAAAGTTGTCCAAAATATCTTTATAACATATTTCAGGCCCATCAAAATCCGCGAGGGAGCGGTCTTTCAACAGGTTGACCAAAAGAACGACTAGTTATAAAAAATTTATTTAGTAATTTTATCTATCAGTCTTATCTATCAATCGTAAATATATGAGAATATACGTAATAAAACAGTAAAGCATACTATAAGTGCTGTTGAAGAAAGTACTATTTCTGATCCATCAACAGAACTAATAAGAAATGTTCAAGTTGTCATTTGTGTTTAATAAAAATACGTGTCTTTCAAATTTGCCAAAAGTGTAATAAAAATGTATGCAAAGAACATTCAAAAATAATTTGTATTGACTGTTTAAAATGAAGAAGCATTGTACACTCTGTGTTTGACATTAGTCGTAAAATAATCTCACCTACTTTAGCTTTCAAATTTCTCATATCTTCATGCATTTCTAAACGTATTACACTATAAAAGAATTGACATTTTAAAGAATCTGTTGCATGGTAAGTGGAAGAGAAAAATGACTTTATGAATTCACATGCGAAACCGCGGTGGTCCCATGGGCCCTACAACTAAACTAAGATTGAGTGTCCACTTAAGGGTTAATGGTACTGTTGTAAGGTGAAGTCGTTCATTTAACATGATTATATTTAATTGCTTCGCTATATTTCAAAGAAATGAAGCTACATAAAAAGTTACTATTTTATTTTATTTTAAAACGGTTGTAAAAATGTTGTTTAAAATATTGAATATTTAACGTTTAATGATAATAAGAGTACACGCTTTTACCTGTATTTCTTCCATCGAAGTTTTAGGAGAAAATAGAGAAAATTGCATAAAATTAATGATAATAGCATAATTCTTTAATTTATATTTTTCAAACAATAGCATTTGGTAGCATACCGATGTTATATCGACGTAGTATAATATCTATTACTCAGGACCATGTAAACAATTTATTCCATAATATAGTGTATAATAATGTTATACAAACGAATGTGATCATGGCAATTGAATTGTGTGTACAAATAAAATAGTGTACAATGACATCTTCTAAATTATTTTTCATTTAAAATAGTTATTGTATGAAAAGCTAGTTAAAAAACAAAGTCATTGTATACTAAACGGTTTAACGACAACTTCGTGAGCTTCTTGTTGATGTAATTTTCCTTCACCGCCAGCCGGTGCAGCCATAGGCATACGACCGCAATACTTCAACTGCAAATCATAATTTCGTTTTTATAAACCCAGCATAGACATTAGTTAATTGAACTTTCGTATGAATTAATGTCTACATACTGGTTTGCCGCATAAATTCTCAAAACGGGGCTTAACGAAGTTCCACGCTCCCATATTTTGCGGTTCCTCTTGACTCCAAATAAAAGCTGAAAGAAATATTTAGATTACGATTTCACGTCATGATAAAACATTTAATTTTCGCTCTTACTCTTTGCGCGTTTATATCTATTGATTTCTTGCAATAGTTCATGAATTGGGAAGGGACATAAGCTCTCTAATCTAACAATTGCCACGTTTTTCAGTTTCGTGCTGTCTCTGTGATTATCAAGAGCGTAATAGTGCTTGCCGCTCACTAAGATCACCTTATCCACATCCGACTCCACAACTTTTTCATCTCCTGTTAGAACATCATTTATATCGTAAATTTCAATTATAAATCATTGTCTTTTACACTCAACATACCTAGAATGTTCTCAAACTTAGTGTCTGGTCCCATGTCTTTCAGCGACGATGTCGCAGCAGGATGGCGTAATAATATTTTTGGAGCCACTATTATCAAAGGTTTACGGAAATTCCTTACCATCTATAAAGAGCAAAAGGCAATAGAGTAAGTTGTAACAATATCTAAAACATTATTTAAGGATCATTCATAACTAAAAGCTTCTGATCTCACTTGTCTTCTTAATACATGAAAGTATTGTGCTGGATTTGTAGGGTTCACAATGTGCATATTAATATCATCGCCGTCGGGCTTGTTCTCCATGCTGCTCGTGAGTTGTAAAAATCTCTCGAGCCTGCAAGAGCTGTGTTCAGGCCCAGCGCCGTCGTAGCCATGCGGTAGAAGTACCGTAAGTCCGCTGCTCAACATCCATTTTGCCTCCCCGCTGCTCACAAACGTGTCGATGATGATCTGTGCTCCGTTAAAGAAATCACCAAACTGCGCTTCCCAAATGGTCAACGTGGTCGGTGAAGCTATGCTCATACCGTATTCGTAGCCAAGAACCGCCTCCTCCGACAGAATACTGTTTGCCAACTCTAATTTTCCAGTTTGATCCTCGATCATCGAGTTCAGAGGGACGTGTATGCCTCCTGTCGACTGATCGACGAGCATGGCGTGTCTGTGGGAAAATGTCCCTCGACCCACGTCTTGGCCACTTATTCTGACGTTGTAGCCTTGATACAACAAAGTTCCAATGACTAATGCTTCGGCCGTGGCCCAGTCCAAACGTTCATCTTCGGTCACTTTCTTCAATCGAGATTGAACGTGACTTTTCACCAATTGCGGGTGGATTGCCTATCGCATGATAAATTGGACACTTCAGGTACCGAGAAAACAAAGATTAGTTTGAATATAACGTGCAGTATGCTCTCACTGTTTCATCGTCGACGTGGACACTCTTCGAAGCAACGAATCTGAGCAGATTTAAATCTGTGCCTGTATCCCATTGCGTTACACTTGCGTCGGCTTGCCGCATTTCGCTCCACAAGCCTGCAAAGTACGAAGGTTGCGGAGTGTAATTATCAACTTGTTTCAAGGCTTGATTTAACCAGGCGTTGTGGGTATCAACGATGTTTTCAGCCATTTCCGTAGAAAGAACGTTAGACTTTACTAATTTCTCTAAATATCGGTCCGGTACTGATCTAGGTGAATGCGTTGGAAGATTATTTCTATATATCGTAGACGTAAACGTAGCTCAGGTGTACTTACGGGCGATTTTTTATAATTTTATAAGTAACAGGGTTCGTAATGACTGGATCGTCCAATTCATTGTGACCCCATCTTCTGAAACAATTTAGATCCACGAAGACATCCTTTCTGAACCTTCGTTGGTACTCGAAAGCTATTCTAGTGGCTCGAATTACCATCTGCGACAATTTAACGATTCTGCATTTTACGATTTTGCGTGGTAGAATAGTTAAAGGTATGTGTAATGCACCTCAGGGTCATCTCCGTTCACGTGGAGCACCGGCGCAGAGATCATCTTTGCCAGATCCGTGCAATATCTCGACGATCTACCCCTGGTAGCTGGAGTTGTAAAGCCTAGTTGATTGTTGACCACTAGGTGAACCGTTCCACCTATCTCGAAGTGTGGAACCTCGGATAGGGCCAAACATTCTTGATTAACACCTTGACCAGCGTACGCCGCGTCCCCGTGAACCTGAGACAAGGGTTACAGCATTTGGTTTTGTTTAAATTAATAGTATTCGGTACGGATTCCCTCTTTATCCGAATGAGATTTTACTTGGATGTTTAACACTTTGTCGCTCCATCGCGCGTTTCCGTCGTCGTTGTAAGCCCCGTCCTTAACGGCTTGCATCGTGCCTCGTGTTTTTCCCATTGAAACCGGATTCACAGCCTCCAAATGCGACGGGTTTCGCAACACCGTCACGTGGAGATCTTTCTCGTCGACGTCGAGGTCGATGGAGGACACCAAATGACTGATCACGTCGCCCGTGGCGTTTACGCCGTCCGGGAATTCGGATAATCCCCGCAGCTTTCGAAACAGCTTTTCCGGCGGGAAATTCAGCATGCCCGTGAGAAAATTCAGTCGACCTCGATGAGGCATACAGAGCACCACGCACTTTAAATCGTCTGCAAATAACAAGACCTTAGATTTTGTATCGTTCAGCGAGCAAGCGTTCAACGAACATTGCAAGTTGATGGCGTGGCTCTTAAAATTCTGTTCCGTTTTCGTTTACCGTGTGCGCATAGTTTAAAAAATTCGTGGAAGAAGGCCAGCATACTCTCGGCGCCCTCGCATCCGTATCTTTTCAGGCTGACGAATTTTATGGCCAAAAAATTATCGAAAGCTTGACTTTTCAGCATCTCCGTCGCGATGGCCGATCGCGTCTCGTCCGACAAGGAATCCGCCACGCGTTTTTCCGCGGTTTCCGCGAACCATTCCCTCTCTTCTTCAGTCTGTGTAGAGATTGTTGACATGCAACGAGCACGATGTGAATTAGTTAACAAAATTCTTTGATCCTGCGGTGGTCATTTCGAACAGTTTCGATAATTTAATATTTTTAATCGTATGTTTTTCTATGTAGTACCTCCAAGTAGCTAAATTCGAGCCCTATTGTGCTACTGTATGTGCTCTTCAGAAATTCTAAAGCTTCTTCTACCGTTCCTTCCTGTTTTTCGGTCGATAAGATTCCTTGAAAGGATACCCTGTCTCTTAAATGCAATCCGAATTTTTCTGGACTTAACTCTGCCAATGGTAACGGTTCCTTTGGCGAGATAGGATCTATATTAGCTTGTTTATGACCAAATTGTCTGTAGGCGGTAACAAATCGATAAAAATTACTGTTTTTCGAACGTGTTTCTAGGTACTTTCTCGGCACTAAAAATAGAAGAATAACAATAAGAGGTGTTAAGGGTAAAATTTCTATTTATTCGTATTTATATAGTATACAAAGAATACATATTGTAATTTAATAAAAATTGTTCGTGTTACATGTGTTATCGTCACGTTGTATTAGCACGTCAAATCGTTTCGTCGTGATATAAATATTTTTTAATTCTTTACCGTGCGATAACAATAATCGCAATGTAGATCTTTGTCGTAAACATGGAAATTAGATTCGTAAAATGGAATAATCGGTTATCGTCTAGGTTAACTCCTCAATTTTTAGTTAATCGTTCAATGTAATGATTATAGATATCGTTATTGTTGTTAATCAAAATTATTGTTTGTTGAAATTAGCGGGTGTTAGTTTGAATTTACCGCGCATGCGCGTTGCGACCACGTTCGAGAATTCACACGAATCTCGAACAGTTCCGCGAGATGAAGCCGAGGATAAAAGCGTGTTGTTTCGTTCGATGTTGCGAATATGTAGTTATTTCGCGATGATAGTGTCGTGATTAGTGTGATTTTGGTTCATATCTGCCTGCACGAGATACGAATACCGAAACTCGAACATTCTAGCAAGGTATTAACCAATTATTGTATTAAAACGTGTGTTCTTTTCGTATTTGAATACGCGTGTACGACAAATGCTGGTAGCTGTGGCGACACCGCGCGGGAATTCCTGTCGTGAAACATTAAACCGTAATTATGGAACTAATTTGTTAGCTTTCCTCGTTGATATCGTATCAAATTTCAGTAATTTATTATTTTTTATCAACGTATTATTATGTGGTTGGAAAATTCAAGCGTAAAATACCTTCGAAGGATCGCTGTACCCTCGGTTTATATCCATACACACCATTTTCACTGTGATAGAATCGCACAGAGATGCTCGATCGATAAACAATGGATTCCGAAGCCGGATGATCATTTATCCACCGAAAACGTGGGTGTTTATATTTACGAAAAGTTCGTAAAGTCGCATACATTCTCGCGTTCGTTGATAAATCTGCGGACCTACTAACAAGTCTCTCATCGCGATACGTCGATTAGTTTATTACATCTACTCCCTCCATCGATCGCATTATCCAACGTTATCTGTTTATTCGAGATTGTCTGTGCCCGAATAATGCCAAACATCAAGCCACGTTGCACGAATCGAACACAAACTGACTTTATGAATGTGTTTGAAAACAGTGTATTTGATTTCTTTTTATTGACATAAAACATTTTATATGGCCAAGTAGAATCGATCGAACGGTTTTACAGCGTGAAAAGTTATGCTCGACAAGAAATATTACCGAAAATTCAATGCTGCGAAAAACACATAAGATTACATGGTTGTTTCGTTTCAGATCGATGCCGATCGTCGATGTCATTTCTTTATTACTCTTTCTTTTATAGATATAGGCACAATTACGACGTGCTTCGTCAGCAAATATGCGTGCAAACGATTTATATGTCGGCGTACGCAGTTCCTACGAGGTCGTTTCCTCTGTACTTGAACTTATGCGTGACGATGTTGAACTTGGTGCCTCCCAGTGACACTGGACAGCTGCCGTCCGGTCGTGCATAGAAACAAACCGTGTACAGTGACATTTCCAGCTCGGGCGAGGTACCCACGAATATGGTTGTTACTGGTTTATCGTATCCGCTATACTTCGTGCGTATTTTTACGATGGAAGCTTTCTATAAATCAGAAACGGCATGCAATAATTTCGTCAAACGTATTTTCTTTTCATCGTTCGCTATTTGCGCGTAGAATTAAACAAAGTAACTTACGTCTCCTAGGTCAACTTTCTTCAAATAGCCATTGTAGTCTGCCTTTCCGCTCATCTCCTCCTTGCTATAGTAGATCCAATTGTGCAAACCGACCACTTCGGTGCCCGTGGCCGCGTTCTTAAGTTCAGCCATAAAAACGTGCTCGAATCCGGAGCTACCGATCTTCCCTTGTCCACGGGAGAACAGGTTGAACCATATCTTCCTTAACGTGTCCTTGTACTCGTAGTAGTCCTTGCGAACGTGCCCTTTGTCCGCCAGGAATCGCATGGCTGCGGACATTACGTTCGTACTGAGGAACGTGTCCACCAGAAGACTCTCTTCTTGTCTTTGTAACGGGCTGATGTGCTCGTTCACGTTTGTATCCGGTTGATAGTTGTCGTAGATCGATATAACTTTCTGCACCGTGGGTCCTTGGAACGCTTCCGCGTTTATCGTGAACAACCTGCGAATTGGTGTTCAGAAAGGTATTAAAAATATTACAAGCATTTTAAATTACCATATTGAATACAACAATGAATTTATTCCAGGTAATCCAGGTATAAGCACGAGAAACTAGGATTCCAGGGAATCCAGGATTCCTCTACAGACAAATCATCGGTTAGTCTTCGACCGTCAGTCTACATCCAACGATCGCTCTCGACTTGTTGCGATAGTTACTTTTTTCATAAGATTCAAATAAAATATTACATATACACATCGTAGATTAGGAATGCTCAGCATCGTTAAGCCTATTGTACAAATAAACTTACGGTTGCGGTGCATCGTCCGTCGTACTGCTGCTACTCGTCTGCTTCTGCAGATTCAGCGTTATGTGTCTGTTCGCGTTGTTGTTGTCTTTTATAAACAGAGCCTCGGAGAGTTTCTCCAAATCCTCGTCAGTAATTGCGTTTCCTTTGCTGTAGGTGGGATTGCTCGAGTAAACCTTGTTCGAGTTTCCAGCTCCTGCTGTTTGTCCCGCGCCTCCAGCTAGTGCACCACCTGCAGCTAGTGCACCGCCTGCAGCTAGTGCACCGCCTGCCGCTATCGCTCCCGTAGATGGCCTGGATTGTCCGGGTTGCGTAGGTGTTTGGGGTCTTTGTTGAGGCCTTCCTGCGATAAGAAGTCTCTTCTTTTACAAGTAACAATTTCTTTTGTTCCTGTAGCTTACCTGGTTGATTCGGGTACCCTGGTTGATTCGGGTATCCTGGTTGATTCGGATATCCTGGTTGATTCGGGGATCCTGGTTGATTCGGGTATCCTGGTTGTCTTGGGGAAGGTGTGGGAGAGTTAGGTCTGCTACCACCGCCAGCAACGTCGGCCCAAGTTCTTCCTGGCGATCCAGGTCTGTCTAACGAGCCAGGACTTCCTGGTGATCCAGGTCTATCTAACGAACCAGGACCTCCTGGCGATCCAGGTCTGTCTAGTGAACCAGCTCTGTCTAGTGAACCAGGTCTACTTGGTGATCCAGGTCTATCTAACGAACCAGGACCTCCTAGCGATCCAGGTCTGTCTAGTGAACCAGGTCTACCTGGCGATCCAGGTCTATCTAACGAACCAGGACCTCCTAGCGATCCAGGTCTGTCTAGCGAACCAGGACCTCCTGGTGACCCAGGTCTATCTAACGAACCAGGACCTCCTGGTCTAGGTAGAGGTCGGGCCGTTGTACCAGGTTGATTAGAGTACGGTGGCAACTGTCCTGGTGCGAGAAATATCAGAATTCGAAAAATCAAGAATACTTGAACCTTCTATCATTTGGATATTGATTTTCTTTTAACAATTTTACTTGCCTGGTGATCCAGAAGGCGAAGAGGGTCTCGAACCTGAAATAGAATTTTTATTTATAATTTTTCCGTTGTAACAGGGATCTATCGGTTCTCACCTGGTGATTGCGGCTGAGGTTGTTGTGGTTGAGGTCGAGGTGCAGGTGTAACTGAACCCGGGATTGGTTTAGCGCCTGAGATACGGAAGGTTAATAAATTTTCATTAAATGAAGGAAATCGTTCATTAATTCTGCTTTCTAGTACTCTTAGTCTAATTCTTGCGAGGAACTAGAAACGCATACCTGGTGTTTGTGGCTGCGGTGATCCCGGTCTGAAATCTATAAATTCCATCACATTTAATGAAATACTTTTGTTGTTCTATTAGGTTGCGTAATAAGTTTTTCTTGTTAAACATGTATGGCCATTTGTTTCCTATGATTGCTTTTATTGTATCCAGATGTGAACAGTATCTTTCGTCATTGATCGTCGGGTTATGCAGTCAATGTTTATTATAAAATATCAAAGCACCGCCGTCGACGCGAACGGACTTGTTACGCAACCTAACATATTTTAAAATAATAATTTTACGTTTAAGAATGTTTGTCAATTTACCGCCATTGCTCAATGCTGGTCCTTGCTTAGGTAGAGTTGGCGATTGTCTTCCTGGTTCTCCAGCTCCCGTGAGATCCGCCGCCCAGTCTCTGTAGCCTTGTCCAGCGTTACCACCGACTCCCGGTTTGCCTGGTTTCGGCACTGGAATATCGAGACCAACCTCTGTTCCTGGATTTGGTTTACCAGGCCGTGCGTTGTTTCTGATATTTTGTCCGGTCGAAGTGACGCCGATCGCCAAACCAGGATCACCCGCGCCGAGTACAGCCGATCCTACACTAGGCGGGCCACTTTGTGGTTTGCTAGTTGACGGGGTAGCAACTGTGCTTGGGATAGCTGTCGTAGTGGTCACGTCTTTGTCCTTCTTTTTCCAAAACTTCCATCCTGCCTCGACGTCAGCTAAAACGGCATTAAACATTTAGGTAGCTGATTAATTATAAATTAATTATCGAGTCAGTCTCTAATTTTATAGACATTTTTTCGAGCAAAGAGCATAACAAGTATTTAGTTGAGTTAGAAAAAATGTGGAAATATTCCAGACTAGAAATACATACGAAGTATAGCAATGTAAAATTGTATCGAGAAGCGTCTGCGTCTCCTAATGGGAGATCAGACGTGGTCGTTCGCTCAAGTTATCGAACAATTAGGTCGAATAATAACGCATTCGTTCCACTTCGGAGAATAGATAGTGCCGATAAAAATTGCTTTATTGAAAAAAAGTATGCTGCTAAGTATTTTGACGTAGCTTCTTTTGTTCGCTGCTTCCATGACGCGACGTCTCGTGAATTCCAAACAGTTTAAAAAAACCCGCGGTTCTGTTTTCGTAGTCGCTGAATGTTCGCAGAATTGCGAGCGGGCATGAACTCACGATAACCTTGTTGATGTGCAAAAGAACGGATAAATACTGTAGAATATTTAGAACTCGATACAAGATATCGTACATTCTTTTTAAACATTCTAATGTCGTGCAATGCATTTGCAACATTAATCTACATTAGAATTTTTCATATTTATTACGCTTTCGCAAGATGTAAATATTTGCGTTGCTCAGGTTCGCGGTTCGAACCAGAAGAAAATGAAAGTTTCGATCGCGTTTGACTTTTCTTTCCTGTTCAATTTGCAACAGTCGTGATTTATTTAATAGGACTATTGCAACGACGCTCCTCATTACACAGAAGGAAAAGTTACTTTCGAAATTCATTCTAAATTCTATGTTTCGACATCGTCGCAGATTACAACAACGAACAATCTTTTCCGTTGCAGGACTAAGAAAAATAATGCATTACGATTTACAATAATGGTCAGTTTATCTGTATTCAAAGGCAACTATATTTTTTTTGAACGAGGTAACTAATTTTGTATTATTCTAGACCTTAAAAAAATCTGAGACACTTATCGAAGACTCTAATAATTGCGTTTATCCTGTTTCACCGACGATGCATTGAATTCAAAGTAATGTAAATCGTACATTTTCAGGAAATAACGAAGATAGACAGAAAATGATCCACTTACCGACGATCAGAGACAGCCCGAGTATAACTAGGAACACCGACACGTTTTTGATCTCCATAATGGCCCGGTTCGAGCACCTGCGTTGCGTCCTAGAACAGGATCGACGCGATCTTGATCGTTGACGCAATTGAATCGAGAGCGTTGTTACGACGTAGGCGTTTTAAGACGAACTGAGGCCTCCGCTGGCTCGAGTCCGCCTTCAGGCGATTACACTTTCCTTCTAACCTCCTGGATTCCCATTGGCACGTTTACTCGACCGTGTGTTAAGGTCGTTGCACGGTCACACGGCCATTTAATACTAACAAAAATCAGCGGCGATCTTCTTGGAAGAGTGATGTCAGCCCCTGATCTTGACTTCATGGTCGATTCCCCAGCCCGATCGTTCCCGCATCCGACCGACGGTAATATATAACGTTTAACTTAAGTGGATGCATATAAAGTGACTTCCTTTCACAGAAAGGCTACAGCGACTCTGATACTCGTCGGTAAACCCCAATACGCGTACCATGATACATTCTCCGTGTATCTAGACTGGACTGATGATAAATGTCCGAAGGATAGCCGGACGGTAATGATCGATCGAGAATAGAATTCAAGTAGGGACACAGACGGGATATAAAAAAGTTAAATAATCGCTTTTACCATCTGTGCTCTCAACGTATAACTGGTTACTCTCTCAAACAACTGTGTGAACGTTTCTATAAGTTTTTTTAATAATCAAAGTATTATTATTTTATTGAGAGGAAAACATCATTTTGGGAACTGTAATTTTCTCTTACATCTTAAGAAACAATTTCAAATTCGCAGCCATTAGCTCGGTGTTACCCACGAAGAAGTTCTTCATCGTGAGTAATACCGATTACCAGGTCTCACCACGTGGAGGTTGCTGCGAGTGGAGACCCAAAGAGAGATAGATGGAATCCAAGTTCCATTGATTTCCCTTTTACATTATTAGAAGCTAGATTAATAAACCAGAGAGATCTTCTGGTTCACTTCTGCCAAGCAGTTATTTCGTTTAAAGGGGATGAAGTTAAATTGAGGGAGTCGCGACGCGCTACTGCAAAATGCAGTAGGTGCAGGGAACGAGATACGCGAACCGAATAGCGAGTCCAAAGAGTCAGTTCGTTGCCTCTTAGCGAGTCCGATCGGAGGGGAAGAGAATCGACGCAGAGGTTCCCCATTTCCCCCAAGCATCCTGTTGGGAGCCAGCTGAACCCAACTCGGGATGACTGACAAAGAGAGGGAGCATGTGTCGGGGCTACCGTAGACAGGAACAGTCCCTGATCCTCTTTCTCTTGGGTCGTCTCACCAGAGGACGGCAACTGACCCTTTGAACCAGCTAAACGGCCGATCACTTGCTTTCTACATGGAAGCAGTGGTGATCGAATTGACGAGGGACGAGTGAACGAGAAGCTACTTGTTAAATAATTACTTGGCAGGACACGCAGTTAGAATAGAGACTTAAAATTAACGTCGAAGTTTAAGCTGAGTTGGAACTAAAATTTGGAAGATAGTTGAAAACGAAGCTCCTTCTATCTTCTGAATTAGTGGTACCAAGCAATTATTTCGTTTAATAGAGGGACAGATATGAGTTCAAGAAAGAATTTGGAACCAGAAGCTATAAACGAGTGGAGAACATATTACATTCAGAATCATTTCCCTTCAAAGCCATAACGCAAAAATAGACCAAATAATAGAAGGACTGGTCAATGGAACATCTCATTATATGTTAAAAATGGAGGAAACATCCACAGTATCGAATCAAGTACGGATAAATTAAACAAACCCAATATTCCATCAAACAATAGTCAAAAATAAACCGGTACATTTAAAATCAGAAAAATAAGAGAGAGAGAGGAGATTTAAGCATCTCTCATCACTGGTCAGCAACTGGTCACTATTGGTCATCGTATGCTCACCACTGGTCAACTGGTCAGTAGTGGTCAGTAGTGGTCAGCAGTGGTTAGCAGTGATCACTAGAGGTCTCCACAGTAGTCCAGGAGGTCCTTCTCCCCCCAGCGAGACAATGAGAACTTTCGGTCGCAGTGGTCACATGTGAGTTTTTTACATGATGGCGGAAGAGTGGGAAGAGCTGCGTCAGCCTTCTTAACCATCAGTTTGATCAGCCGGCAAATTATTTCATGAAAAATTAATATTTACGCCAACTGGTAGGCCCTTTCATTATTCATATGTTACATATTGTTAAAAAATTGTTCAAACTATTGCGTCGTAATGTTAAACAATGCTAAGTTTTATTAATAACTGTTTAATTCCGTTCCCTGATATAAATAGATCTTGATAGTGTCGATTTAATAGATATCTCTTCGAATGTTTATTAATTCATCTATTACGTGATGTCAAGTAGGACTTCTACATTTCCATAGGGGTTTTCAAATTACAAATTGATACTATCTTATCTCGAAATATTTGGGAATGTTCACGCAGAAACATTGTCACGAATTAAATTAGGAGAACAATCTATTTATTTGAGAATAATGGATATCTAACATTCTTACAATGCCGTATATACATACATATTTACACGCAATTACGAATTCACACTGCAGAACAAGTTCGTGACTTAATACTTGCGGATCATGCCCGGATTATCAAACATTGCCAGAGCGATTACACTTTTGCGTTATAGACCCACTGGTTTATTTATATTCACATTGCGTTTCATGAATAATCGCGTTAGAAACGATCACGGGGAGAGACCAGTTCTCTTTCTTCATCGAGCTTCAGCGAGCCCCGCGGAGTTTCAACTTCCGATCGAAGGGAAATAAATGGCTGCCCATAGGATGAACAGAATCACTAGAACAACCATCAACTTCGAACGGAAGTTGTCCCAACCGATCAGTATGTACTTCGTTCTGTTCTGAGGCTCATCCGCCAGAGAATACTGAAACATAATAAGCTCCGTTAGATCCACGGAAATAACGATTAATTTACGATCATAGTCACGTTTAATTACATCGTCGTTTTCTTCGTTTTCGTTTAGTCTTTGCGTGCTCAAATTTTGACGCATTTGCGTGGATTTCTCTTGGATGTGTTTCGAGTTTACTCGTACAGGCTCGAATGATTTCTCGTTCGTTTCGGTTTTCGAGGTTCCTGGGGCGTCGAACGTCGCGAGCCCGATGGCCACGATTCTCTTATCCGGTCCTTGCGATTTGATCTTCGAATCCGTGGCTACTTTGCTCGTTGCACCACTTATCCTCGCGTCTTCCGTTGTCGCATCGTCGCCTGTGCATAGTTTCCATTTAATATCAGATCGTTATTGTAAATGGAATTTTAGTGATTGCTATTATACTCTTTCCGGGATCCTTCCTTCCGGAGATCCTGCGCTCAGGGTCTCGCACTTGAGACAGGAAGCTCTGCAAGTATCGCGGAATCTTCTTCTCCTTTTCCTGCTTCAGATTGCCGGGTCGGTGTTTCCTTCGATGCATCTACCACGAAACTGGACTAAACGGACGTTGACCTTTGTTTCTTTCGGACAAAGAATTGTTCGATTTATCTCTTGTGCTGCGAAAAATGCATAGATTAGACGAACGTTCGCGAAAACGCAAAGAAGAATCGCTGTTATTGATAAAAATTTTCTGTTTCAGGAGAAGCAGCCGTGCTTTCGACATCCAAATTATTTCGAAAGAACAGCGTGTCTCTTTGAAGGAAGCATTCTCCGTAATGGCTAGTAAGTAATAAACGTCCACGTTCGCGTTGGAAGATATTACTCTTTTCCGTTTCTTACCTTTGTAAACATTTTACAGAAGTCCCACGAACGATTCGCGAGTCAGACGCCAAGGGACGTGCATAAAAAACTGTCTTCAAGGCTGATGGAGTTGCGTGTCAGGTGTGAAATGCAGCCTTCGATGTTCTCGAGCATCAACGATCGGTTCGTCCTTCGCCTTTTAGCGCATAAAATTTCTGCCATCAGATTCTCATCGTGTTTGTCCTATGACGCGTCGCTTGCGAAAACACGTTTTGTCTCAGAGCGTCATATATTCTCGCGGACAACTTCCAGCAAAGTTCAGGCTATTGTTCGCGAGAGATTATCGCGATCCATCATTTTTAACAGAACAATTAGTATCGTAAATCGTTGCCGGTTATGCAAGAGAAGGCCAATGATCCGTAATGACGGTTTATCGGTCGAAACTGTCGTTGTAATTGCCATCCGTGACTCCCGCGATACACACGTTAATTTAACACAACTTGATAAGAAAATTTATTTGATTTTATCGCGATGTCTCGCAACGTTGCGTTATCGAGTTTATCTTAAAATTTATTTGAAACGTTGATCATTTCGCAGCCGTCCGTCGATCGGAGATCAGTATTGAAAAATCATTTAGCATGCTGTGACACTTTATTTGGTTATATTACAAACAGTTAATAGAAAAGGATCATATACATATAATAAAATTATCAATACTAAACGCTCGAATATCATTTTCCTCATGAGATTAAACGTTTCTCTAATTTCCCGTATGTACAAGGAAAACGTTTAAAACTATTCTAGCGTACAGTATAAACATTGGTCTCGTGTATAAATATATTTACAATATTATTATAATACAATTGCGACATCGTAGAGTCTGTTAAAGATTTGATCGAATGTACAAAACGGGGTCTATCGTCACTTCTTTATAATTTATGTTTTTTCACGAAGTTGTGTAAATTAACGTACTCGAAAAATCGTGAAAATTGTACCCCGCATTCTGTGTCTCAGTTTCATTCCTCGCAAAATTTCATTTCTCTTCGACGTATCATCGATTCATTTCGAAAGTAGAATACCAAGTAGATGGTGATACTTCTTTTCTCTTTCTCTTCGTCCAAACGAAATGGAGGGAGAGTCGTAGAAACCTTTCTTGTTCTCTCTCGATTCGAACGTCGCGTCCTTCCACTTTGCATACTTGTTATGTCCCAATTCGGTTCTTCACAGGATTTGGTACTGAGCGAGGAACGTGTAGACGATCACCCAGATGACTAGAGCGACGATCACCGAGATCAGGAAGATCGTCTTGAGAAAATGCCAGGGACTTTCCAAACGTGATTCCACGGGGCTGGACAGGGCCTTGCATCCGCCGTTCTTGCAGGGGATATTCCCGGGCTGTCCTGGCGTCGACGTCGCGACATTGGTCGTCTTCACCTCACCGAGTTCCGTTTCGTCGGCGCTCTGCACTTCCGGTTTCGTCAGTTCGAACCGCGACGAACTCTCCATCTGAAACCGGGACGAGAAATAGATTTTTTTCGGTAAAAATTACGGCGAGTAGAACTCTGTTGTCGTTCGAGTCGGCGGTCTATCGGTCTGCGGTTCTGTTCGTGTTTGAACAGCTTGTATTTAACAGAGATAAAAGTTTCTGTTTCTTAACGGACCCGAGCAGCGGTAGCGTGTCAGCTGCTGGCATAATTTGCTCGAACAATAAACAAGAAATAATCGTACAGGTAATTTGCATCTCCATGACTTTTGATAGACGAATCGCTACAATGTAAACGGTATAGCGTTAGAATTATCGTGTATGATCTTGCCTTATGATCTTACGGAACACCAAACGAAGAATCGCAAATGACGAATGTGACACATTACTTTACACTGAGCCGATCTCTGGATGGTACTTATTTTTGTCGACCTCGTTTTTTATTTATCTTATCCCCCCCACCTTTCAGAGCATCCTATGCATAATTCTTGTACAATACAAGCTCTATCAGATAATGGGGAAATATGACTCACGAACCTTGAAATTTATCATGTAAAATTACAGGTTCGTGGCTCTTGCTAATATAAATGGTACGGATAATCCTCGAGTTACACGGATTAGCAGATACGCGTACTCCCCGCCTAAGTCTTTGTGCATATTTTGCATATGTATATGTTTTACAAATTTTTAATTTCATAAAAGAGCGCGAATCTATTTGGTTTTGGTTAATTTTTGAACGATAGATCGTAATGGTCGCTATGTTTTTATTAAGTGATAAAACTTTCAGGCAAGATTGTTTTTAAAGTAAAACACTTGTTGACTCGATAAGTGGTTTCGTGTTTATTTAAAACGTAACAGGAGACGTTAATTACGCAACGGACTTTCTTCGATTCGAATGAAATATATCTGTTCAATGCGGTTTTGAATCCGGCCAACAAAACCGGGTTGAACTAAATTCCTCGACCACAGTTTCCTTATTTACCAAACGTGTAAATTACCGTATATTATGTGCATTCGTATCCCCCTAATTTTTAAGTTGAGTATCGATATATAAATCAGGAAGAAGCGAGGAAAGGAATTTGAAACTATAGATACCGATAACGATGGTGTAAATAAACCCACGGAAAGGAAAAATGAGGGGAAGATATGGGAGTATTACGTGTGATTCTGGAATCCAACTTTTGGAGGGGAAAAAATCTTGTTTCGGGTCCGGTCCCGTCCCGTAAACCAATCCCATCATGCTGGTGACCTGATTCAAATACGGATAGTCCCATATTGAGCCCGGGGATGGCACTATCACCATCTGCCAACGAGATTAAATTATTACTACCGATAAACTGCGTGAATATAGAACAACGGTATTGCATAATAATCGCATTAATATCAACGCTTGTTCTCGATGTGTTTGTTATTGAGAAACTCCGCTCTATGAAATTGAGATAAACCACACGCTTAAAATCATTCATTGCTCTCGGTTACGCGCTAGTTCCCCGAACGTACGCTGTACGAATAAATAAAGAAAATTTCGCAATCGGTGTAGAAAAATCTTGATGCAAAATACGAAATATGTTTTTCGCCAAGTGGCGAGCATTGCGAAATCTATGGTCGTTCGTACCCGAGGCGCTCTTACGCGAAGCATTGAAAACTTTCGCCGGATTCTGTAATCGCGATCGAGCCTCGATGGAGGAAACTAGTCGCGAGTGAAAAATCTCAGGCGAAACAAACACGATTCGTTCCAGACTCTGCTCTGAATCACCGGTGCGCGGAAGGTCGCGTCGGAATTGATCGGGTCAATGATTCATGAACCCCGGGTCCGATTTTAACGCGAGGGTTATTTCTACGAGCACTTAGGCGTAAATAGCTGTCGCGTTATTCGTTCACGCAGGCACAATGTCCAGTGAACGATTTTGTTTCTTTTATTCGCGATGTGTCGCGCGACGAGGGAGGTCGCGTTGACCGTAAACGGAACGTCCGGTCGGAAACAGGAAGTCGACGAATATATTCGCGAGTCTCGAGAAAAAAATAAAATAAAAAAAAAAACAGAAAGAAAGTGTTCGCCATGAACTCACGTTATTGAACAAGTATCCATACTTCCTGCTGTGACGATTTCCGTCGTTATTTGTAGTTTCAATGGACGTAGATCGGGTGTCTGCGACGACGCGACACTGGCTTATCATACTATCGAAAGTGTTTTGTTGATCGAATACGTTAATTGGACTCGCGTGATTTTTGGTCGTAAGTTCGTAGTTTACTCGCGTACGACGCTGCGGGAACTGACCAGTTACGACGGGCCGGACCCATTGTCAGACATTATCAGCCCCGACCTCTGATCTTTCATTATCGAATAGTTGCTCCCGTGTGAATGTCGTCGTTGCATTTTAATCTCTTCACGGATCGTTTGTAAGAGGCGCGATGCATCTCTTTGATCGAACCGGTCACTTTCGCGCGTTCAATGCAACGCAATCGCAAATTCATTTACAATAGATCTAACTACAACTTCCGTTACACAGTCACTCTGGTTATCGAACATTAATAATTATATTTAAAGTTCTTCTACTCGTGGAAAAGAGAATGTATTGAAAATGAAAAATAATACGATGAATTTTTGTTACAGGTATCGCGGAGGATGAAACATAGGAATCGTTATGCAACCGGATACGCAACAGGTTTCAAGGATGCATCGGCTAGATCGCCGCTATAACAATACTAGGATACCTTGCGTAATCTGGCGAGGCTCATGTTCCACGAAGCAGGTAACAAACCAGAGAGTTCGTCGTTCGAAGATGAATTAAATTTAAATATCCCGTGGTACCAAGATTGAGGAATAGGAATGTCCGGTACGATCGATCACATGGAAATTTAACCCCACGGGAATAACGTGACACCGTGAACTTGCAGGAATAAGTTGAATCGCGTCGAGGAACGACGTTAAGCCGCGTCCATACAGCTTTTTATTATCTGTTATTCGCGAGCTTCGAATCGAGCTGTTCGGTGGCAAAGTTGTAAAGTTCACGCGACGACGAGACGCGATAAGTTCGTATTGGTAACGAAAAATTGCCTGTTCTCGTGTTTTGTTCGAACGACTCGGGGTTCAAAGTACTCCCGTCTAATTAGGAAGGCGATTTCGACAAGACGGTGAAAGTCTCGAAAGGTCCACATCGCGCGTATCGACGAACGAAAGTTCTCGCCTTTGCCAGAGACTCAAGGCTGCCATTACGAGCGTCGAGCGCGTCGCATATGCGTCGATGTTTTTCCCTGTTAATAAATATACATAGAGTTGGATGAACGGAACGTCGCCGCATTTATTTTCCTCCGAAATATAAGAGCCACGAAAACGTGACTTTACGATTTAGTTAACGAGAAACCAATCGAGCTTTGTCATGCGGTGATTCTTTGAATCGAAACAGGAAACGTAAATAATCGAAGAGCTGTAAGATTTATACATGTATGTAGATAAAATACATTGGAACGATGCAATACGAAGACATTATTGAGATCGTTCGGTAGATCTTCTATTCGCGAGAAGTGGCTGGAACGAGTCGTGATTATCTCTCTCGTATCCGCGATTAGTAACGGCGCGTTGGCAAGGTCGCACAACGATAAAAACCGTAAAAGAGCAAGGCGAAAGACCACGATTTGGAAAACTTGTGACGCGTACAGTCAACGGGATGTGATTTACAGTAAATTTCGATAATGAATGTGACTCCGTTAACGGAATCTAGAAAACGCGTTTCTCTAACCGCTGCTTCGAACACAGTCCTACGTAATTATTATAATAAATTTTGTATAAACACTTTGTTCCATTACCGTCTCGTTTATGAACAATATAAATAACGAACGATATTTCTTTTATAGGGTCGAATAGATCGGTTAACAGAAAGACAGATTCTCACTTGTTGTGGATGCCAAGTATGTTGAAAGAAGCTCTTGAAGCACCTCATGCTGGATGGCATTCTTTCACCTTTACTGGTCACCGCATTGTCATCGTGATCATCCAAAGAATCATTGAACGATCACATCTGTCGACGTACCACTTATTTTTATCTGTTTCGACTCTCGACGATTGGTCTCGATCGAAGTCGAACGAAATTCCGTGCGATCGTGCACCTTACTTGTATCCAAGATTCATCGCTGAAACACCTTGGTCGTTTCGAACTGTCGATGTTTTTAACAATAAAGCTGCGAAAGACGAGCGAGAGACGACGATCGAATACGCGGTGAACGGTGGAATAATAGGAGACGGACCGTCACGGGTCTGCAAGGTGCAGTTGCATCTATGCGACTGACCGTCGAGCGAAAGTTTTGAAGCGTACGCGACGGTGCGCGGTCAACAACTAATGAAGTGCGAGTAGATAGCGGCAAGATTCGTACGAACACTTTCAACTCCGATTGTTGGTACTCGACCACGTTACGCTCGTCGCTACAACGACGAAAGAAATGGTAAAACGTTCGACGTCGCTTTTCTAAATATGTACTGTTTAAAACTGTACAGCCCGATTCCTCGCTACCGCTTGAAAATTTTTATTCCGTTTACATTTTAATTCGTTGGTTATTTTAAATAGAACAAAATATAGGGTACGTTTTACAATTCTTCGTTTTATATACAATGTGCAGATCTTCGTAATGTCACGCGTTCAATTCTAACTGGCGCTTGCATTGCAACCGATGGAAGAATTGCCATCAGAATTCTTCATGAAATGTCGAGTCGCGGAATCTGACTGTTCCAGTTTCAAACAAATCCTTTTACAGGTCACTCGTTGCCTGTGTTTGGTCATGATTCGCCTTACCCTTTCCCATTCTGAATAACTATGGAGAGAAGGAACCAAACTATAGACAGAGAACGTCGTGTAATTTTATTTTCGATAAGCTTGATCTATTGTTCTCGTGACATTTTATTGGTTCGCGCGATTAACTGGGACTTTCTTTTGAAATTTCAGGATTCGCAGCGGTACGACTCGTATCGTTTGACATTTGCAAAGTCGGCAACCGCATTCTACGCAGTGAGTTCCAACATAATAGAGTAACGGGATCTCGAAATTTCTGCTGCAGCAAATGCCACGGTAAATTGAATGCCGCGAATGCGCGCCCCACTTTTCTTATTGTACAGGAGACTTTATTACAATCGGTACGCAAAGTTGTACACGTACACAAAAAAAGTTTCCAAAAAATTCTTTCATTCGCTTCTACGTGCGAATGGATCTTCGAGAAAATTCGACCTAGGAATGTGAAAGTAAAAGGTTCAGTCTTTAAAACGACTTTAGAAAAATTATTGTACGACGTCTTTTCACGAGGTTACGATAGTTCAAATATTGACAACGTTTAAATCAAGTGTACACTTATAACTTGGGAGTGTACGCAATTTCAAATAAATCATAATCGTTACGAAAATAAATAATTAAATAGTTTCGCTTTAAACATCGAATAAATATTTATTTCTCGATTATGAAGTCGGTGAACGTGGCTGATATCTCCTCGTTTCGAAACTCTGTCTTATCTGTCGCTGACCGAGGATTTACGGAATATCGAAGCCAAGTTTCCCTGCAACGAAAGTGTATTCTATTAGAATCGTGATTTATTAGAATTATTTATAGAGCCGTGGCAGCTTATTATTTAACAATTTTTTGAATATTCTAGTTGAAGATAATCTTTATTTTCCAGAAGATAACATATTTTGAATAAATGAAGCAGATGTCGATAACTGTGGAGTAATATTGTTTACGACTACCAGATGTCACTTAGGTAACGATAGATCAGAAAGGACGCCTCACGATTAAACGACCCCGGTGAAGTTGCTTCGTTTTTAAATGTATTGTAATTTGTACGATTCTGAACAAATATCTCCAATGCTACACCCATGTCAAATTTGTTCAAAATCATACAAATTACAGTATGTTTCAAGATTAAGCAATTTTGCCGAGATCACTTTTCCATAAGAACTTGTCCAGTTTGTGTTTAGAGTTATTTTAACGTTTGTTTGCAAGGGCATAACTTCCAGAACCAGAAATGGACACCTTTGAAGAAAGGAATTGACGATTAAAATCCTTGTGTCGTTGGTACGACGGAAATTGGGCTCTTATCTTGCACTTTTCCAGACACTTCGAAGTCGACATCGACGAATTTATCTCATACGATATTAATTCTAGCAACAGTGATGATCGAACGATGAGACAGAGAACGATTTTAAGGTATTGCACGATTAATATTCGATCATTATTCTGTGAAAATACTAAACCTGTTTCGGTTGATTCGTGGATCGACAGATGACTAGATGTCGCCAGTCGAGGTTATGTCCGCTGTTCCTATCCTTGAAAACTATTCTCGGTGCATTTTAAAGAGAATTAAGTTCAATTTAGGTTTAAAGCAGGGTCAATGCAAACCTTCCGTTTTTTTAATCCATACATAAATCAATCTAAATACGTTATACGAATACGTTAATACTGTATTCGGTATTGTTATAATATGCAATGTCGAATGTAATTTTGTGCAATATTTCTCAACCTATGAAACAATGAAGAATTTGAACAATTAGTTATTTTAGATAATACCAGAAGTATTGGAAAAACATATATTTTTCAATATTTCGCAGTTAGACGCAAATCTATTTTTCGCAGTTATCATCGTCCATCATAATGGTAGTTCGTACAATTCAATACAGATAGCAGCAATTGTTAGTTTTTATTATACCTAATTTTGCACGTTTAGTTCAAATTCGTTGAAAAGAAAATACATTAAAGTATTCTGAAGTTAGTTCTCATTGTACTAAACGAAAAAATTAAGTCCTATGAAGCTGTGGCATACTTTATCAAATTTGTACTTGAAGTAACGTAATTTGCATTAACAAACTATTTGCATGCAAATGCAAAGTTGTCAAAAGACAAATTATGGTAGAAATAATTATATTGTTAAAATTAAGTTCGTGGATGACACGGTTCTAAGGTTAGTATGTGCCTGTAGACATGGTATATATTATTATTTAAAAAACATATTTTTATTAAAGGCATTGGTGGAGAACTGAAATCTATAGAATTTTATAAAAAGATTCATTCGAACAAAAGCTGGCAATTAATGGGTCAAGAAGAGGGTTAATACGTTCGGCAATCGCGTTAATAATTAATCGAGTCGCTCGTTAGGTACATCGAAGAACAAGCAAGTCGGTGAGCGCGGCAAAACGATTTGTTTCAATTTAAAAATTAAATTCCGTTCGCACATGCCTGTCACTAATCGTGATTACGTATCCGCGCCGGTATTGGTCGATGTTCCGAAGCGCGCGCACGAACGTGCCAGCAAAAAACTCGCGAAGTACAGAACCGTATAAGTCGTCCCCCACCGCGGTTACCACGCCAGTCAGTCTCAGGCCACGGGTAATACGCGTTGGATGTTTATCCGCTCTTTTCTCTTCGCGCACGCGATTTATCCTTGACGAAACGCCACGAAAACTTGCACAAAGGTGTACCAGCCGGTTAATCGATCTATCCGGACCGTGTCAGTATGTATCGCGTGCCTTGTTCCTTCGATCTTTAAAACCCGTTCGGGACACTGGCATCGCGCTTCGTTCGTGTATTCCGCGCTATGGTAGACGATCGCCTCGAGTCGAATGCGCGTCGTTTCGACCAAAACATCCGCGACGTTTGATCGCGAGATAATCGTTTCGTCGATCGCTGGCCTCGGTGCAAGGTTAGGCTCTTTCGCCGAGCGTTGTGCGATTAATTGGCGCGTTTAGTGCATACCACGGGAGTCGGTCGATGAGGTTAGGGTGGCGTAGTATACGCGCGACGACTATTCGGATACGCGATGCGACTCTGACAGTTCGTCGAATCGCCTTTACTACAACGTTGTTCACACGTCGCACGACAAAACGCTGCGTGCAGTGCTCGAGGGCATCACAGCCGGCGACGGTGACTTTGACAGCGCACCGTTAGAAGTGAGGTTAATACGTGGGAGGTGGTGTCGTCGTTGTGCGTGTGCGTGCTGTGCACGGAGGACAACACGGCGATAATATCATGACGGCAATGTTAGTGTCCGTGGCAGAGCTGTCGAACATTTTCTTCGTGCTCGCAGTCTCGATATGCTTCTGTGGAGTCTTCTTGTTCATCATCAGGTATTTATGGATTTATCTTCGATTTAACGCACGTCCTAACCCCCTCGATCTCAACAAACCTTTTGACATGTACCTAGTTCGATATCAGTGTCTAACCCTTTGCGTCGAGATTTTTCACGACTAAGATTTAGGTTCTTGAGTCCATGTCGCAGGTATTGTTGACATCAGAGTTCTTTTTTCCGTTAGCTCGATAGGCCAGCGGGTATGTCCGTAGCTTCGCAATCTCGTGGCTCGAGTTCGAATCCCGTGTTCACGTATATATTTTTTTGTTTGCATTTAAACTTATTTTTTTAAAACAGCAAAAGCACATTATTTGCACGTAATTTTTCAAGCGTATGCTATTTAATTTTGTTCGAGTAGTTTGCACGAGTCCAAGTGGACCCAGAGTCTGGTGGACGAGGATCAAGAGACATTGTGGTGAAATTAATTTTATTAGGTCACAGAGCTACTTTCAGATACCCGTGAGCATCTTTCGAAAGTAGCGTAGCGGAAGTTTAAGTTTTTATACGATTTGCGTATACTGCGTTACCACATAATTACATTGGCATTTTAAACGATTCAAAACATGTTGATGCCGATGTAAAGCAACAATTATTTGAGAAGGTAATTAAATGTTCTATACTTAATGGAGTAGCAACGATACGTGACGTACAGATTTATTTATTTCGAACAAATTAACTTGAGAATTAATTTTGTTTACTTTCGTAGCGAATGGTCCTGGCCCTTAGAGAAGTCTTCGGTCCCTTAGTGGCAGTGAAAATGCTAATTGGGCCTCGTTGACTAGGCTAGAAGGGATTTCAACGGTTCGAGTATGTTCGACACGCTCGGTATAGTCTTTGGAAATAGGTCGACGTACTCTCGGTGATGTTTCATTGCACAGTGGGTGCAGGAAAACGCAGCCCAGCTATCTTGGCGCAACGGGTTATCAATGCGTCGTGCGAATTGAAAAGCAAACATCGGATCTTGGCGGATGTCAATAAAATCATCAAAGCCTCGTAACTGGTCGAGCCTTCTCGTTTTACGTACCGCAGAATATTTTGCAAGTCAATAATAATATTTGTCGACAAATTAGCGACCCTTAGAGAAGCGTCTAACGCCGTTATTCGAGTCCCCGGGTTGCATAATTGTCGTCGATTACGCAATGTGCATTACCCGTTCAATTCTATTCTCTTTTTCTCACGTTTTTTTCACCAACGGTTCTGGGTCGAGTGTGCAAATCCCAGTTAAAATTATCCACGATAGGACAACGCGATATTTGAGGACTACGGAGCTTTAGCTTTTAACTGTTATTAGAAAATGTGTGTATATAAAAATTGAAGGCGTGCACGCTGTAGTAAGTTGATACAGTCTTAATGTACATCGTTGGCCAAGATTTCGAAGATAGAGTTAACTAAGATTTGTGACAACCGATTCCTTTCGCCAAGGTCGCCAAGGTACGGGGACAAGTCCTACTTGGAGACTGGAGACTGCCGGAATGTGTTTATCGTGTTACAGCTGTAGCAAGGAACTGACGAGTTCGATCATTATCTACCGCAAGGTAGTATCTCGTGTTGCCTATTACGTCGTAACATTTTCGACGTTCGCCGAAATCGGACGTTTATCAGATTATTCTATAAATAATACGACGGGGTATGTCCCCATAGATCTCACCGTGAGATACATATCGTTTCACCGGCATTCAAATCACTCGGCGACCGTCGCCGTTTTTAGCCATTATGAAAATTCCGATTCGCAAATAATTGTAATCGGTCGCGAAATTTATCGTCCCCGGTATCGTCGATTCGTTTAACCAACAGCTTACGAGCGGACATTAAACAGTATCGCGTAGATTTATATATCCGCGTGCTCGTTAAAATATTCTACCGCTTTATCTTGCCGATAAATTCATAATACATAGTCATACTCCGAGTTGCATTTGTTCAGTCGGATTCACGTGCTTCGCGATATTGATATCGCTACAAACATGAAAGATTCAGGTTCTTATAAATATGCAAAGCAGCGCATAAGGAAAAAGATATTTAATTAGGTACATAAATCGATGGTGAGTGTGCACCGAACGTTTTTATCGGCGATCGAAAATAGAATTGTACGGAAAAGATTTACGATCGCTGAAATAACAATGTTTAATTTTATTTATTTCTATCGTGTTGAATTCATCGTCGAAACGAAAGCTGTAGCGTAGGTTTAACAAGTGCCGGTCACCGGTGACCGTCACGGCAACGAACGCGTTAATGGAGCGATAGTTTGGACACCATTACGCGTCACGGTGCCTGATTCGGGTTTTCGCGTTGCCAGTTCCCTTTCCCCGATTCTTTTCTTTTTTACCGGCGATCAAACTCGCAACACAAGCAACGGCGTTCGTCGATAATGGCTCATTTTTGCTCGAGATATCGCCAGCGCGATTTTTCCTCCTAGTTCCTCGCGATAGAGGCGGGATTTACTTTACGATTCGAGCTCGATGGACATTGTTAGTCAAGTTCCTGCCAGTGTCAACACGACGGCAATTGTCTTCAATTGAATAAGGTCAAGAGACCCATAATTCTTTCAGCCCCACATACTCGATTCCAGAAAACAATTTACGCGGCGTCCTTTTTATTTATATATTCAACGAGTTTATCGTATAGTTCGTGTTAGAATCGTGACCAACTTTTCGCGATACCTAATATTATCTTGCCACGTATAAAAATAGATACGTGAAACGTGGCCGGTTCCGTCGAGTCGAAAGTGACCGGTGCTCGAATCCACAAATTTTGTTTCTACAAATCGTTAACACACTTCGCGATGAACGCGCGGATTCGCTTGTTTGAGAAGAGAAAGTCCATCGCGGACTGAAAACGAAAATCTATGTTAAGTTTCGCTCGTCTAAAAAGTAGAATTCAATCGGGGCGTAAGAGAAACACTTTTCAATTTGTTACGCGGCAAATAGTAGGAGATAATTACCTGTTAATCGATGATGTTTGTGCACCAAGACCATCCTAATTGTTTATTAGTTTCTCTCGATCGTAGATCGAACTGGTATTTTAAATACGCTCGTCTGCGTTTGATTCCTCGTTTCAAGTTTGAGATGTTCGTCTAAAAAGTAGAATTCAATCGGGGCGAAAGAGAAACACTTTTTAATTTGTTACGCGGCAAATAGTAGGAGATAATTACCTATTAATCGATGATGTTTGTGCACCAAGACCATCCTAATTGTTTATTAGTTTCTCTCGATCGTAGATCAAACTGGTATTTTAAATACGCTCGTTTGCGTTTGATTCCTCGTTTGAAGTTTGAGATACTCGATCGTGTGTGGATCGGTTCGTGAAAACGTCGATGAATATCTTTTTGTAGTCCGCAGTGGAATGATCGCTGCTGGCAAAGGTAATTTGCCAGGGTATAGTTTGATCCTATGTTCGTGTGAGGTTAACATGCAGAAATTCATTGTCGATACTCTTTCGAATAATTTACAACACTACGATGTTGCGATACGTGCACACGTCCTCATGGCCGCGGGGTTATTGGCAGTCGAATAATGCACGCGGTCGTTCGCACCTTGATTCATTCAGAAGGATGAACAGCGCCGAGAGTTCGCTAATTCTGTTAAACATAGATGGAGGAACAACATTTTACTTTTTTAAGATAATCGTCTTTGTACCAAGGGTCGAGGTAGAGCGGAAACTCAAAAAAAAATTGTAATCACAGTCGATATTAAGAGAGTATTGCTATCTAAACGATCGACGAGTTCCATCGTGCATATATCATTGCTAAGAAAGTTATCGGATATGTTAAAATCGATGCATCGTCATCGTTACCGTTTCACCGAGCACAATGACTGCGGAGCAGCATTAGCTTTATTACGAAACTCGTTTGTGCAATATGAAACGGGTGAATATGGCAGGATTTTTGAAATCGACGTTTTCACTCGGTCCCACGAGCTTTCGTAACGTCCATCGAAGACAAAGAGATAAAAGTTTCGTGTGGAAACCGACGCTAAAGTGCGTGGCGAAACGGCTTGCGAGCATTTTTCTTTCGAAAACACTAACGAACGTTTCGTCGCGCTTAGCTCGCGTTGCGTGCAGAAAGATGTAACTCGATTATTCGAGCAATTCGAATTAATCGTGCGAGTGAAGAAACATGACTTGTATCGAGGTATAGAAATAAGCAATAATTATTCGCGTATTTTGATTGGAAGAGGAGATAATTTTAGTAGGTCGAAAGGATGAGAAATGTTACAGAACCAGTCTCGATATGCGAATTTTATACCCGTTATTCAGAGAATTAGTTTACTGTTACTTCTCCAGGACCACCTGGTTTCGAACTCGCGCGGGACGATGCATGCCTTCGCAGTGTATAATTAAGAATTTTTGCAACGACATGAAACCAAGAAATATAGCTTCCGACACTACTTATATAAAGCTTACCACGCTCTATAACACGCAGAATGTCCAGTTGTTAATACTTAAGGGGTCTGGTAACTCTAGAATATTGAAAAATTCGATTTTTTTTTTTTTTGGCTTAAATAATAGTTTGATGCCTTAAAAACATTATGCGAAAGGTCTCAGTGTCGGAACAATGTTTTTGCTGAAAATTTAGAGCCCCAAACGATGTCGTATATCTGCGTCCTGTAGCGCGTTAAATGCATTTTCCTCGGAACTATGTTTTACAAAACGGTGTGCAGCATTACTCCCGTTCTAATTAATCAATTGCTTTGAAAATTTACAGTTATCTTTACTATTATATTCATTAGGCATTGACGATCCGTTTTTTTTAAAATTGTCAAATAATTCTGCAAAATATTCGTAATAAGAACTCGTTTTTGTGTTAAAATTCGATGTTAAGTTTCAAATATCTGCCACATTGTTCATTTTTATATTTTGAAATGTCTCATCGTCAATGCCTAGGACATTTATCATAGTTAATGGAATATTTCGGTTTTTGTTGTACATAACAACCATTTTACCACAATCCTGCACACCAGCTGGGCATCAAAACAAGAAGTGGCTCGGGAACATGGCGCTGTGTAGGCTTAATTATAAATATTTTTTAAACATTACCAAGGGTTTTTTTCAACATTTGTTATACCTAAATACAGTGCAAAGTTTCAGGATAATTGAATACTTACTTTATCTTCAGTGTTGCTTAAAAAAATGCCTCGTTTTCCATACCGCTAAAGGTACCAGACCCCTTAAGTAGGAGTCGATATGCGTGAAAAATTCAAACAGTTCTACAGTTTTTGGACCAAAAGTAATCGATACCTAAAGATACACGTTTTGTTTTTTTTACTGTAGAATAATCCCCTTTGTGTAAAAGAATTTGTAACGTGCAGGGAAGCAGTCGACGGTTTTATTAAAAAATAGGGTACAATTCCTTTGTGCAGGAACATGATCGTACTTCGTATTCACGGCGACGAATTGATGTTCGGCGGGAGTGGAAACGTAATGACACATTCGCCACGCATACCTCAGATGGAGATGATGAAGGTCCACATTCCCTTCACCTTCAAGCTTCACGAAAGTTTCAAGAGCACTTACGCCGGTGAGTCTAGTCAACGCACACCTTGTTTCTCTCATTTAACTTTCCTTTTCTTCCTCTTTCGCTACTCAACGAAACGTTTCAAGATAAGTGATTCCTTAGAATTCCTTAGAATTAATAACGAGAGATTGAGAAATTGCTCCTCGAGATATTTGAACGTCAACGATCCTTTCAGACCCTTTAATATTAAATTTCAAACAAAATCTTTTACTCCGACGGTAAATTGATTGCCTCGGAAAGGATTTTAATAGATCGTCTATTAAACGAAAACTGATACACGGATTGTCCATCGAGAATCCATTAAGCGCAAAAATTCTCTAATAATATCTTTTTCAGGAAATAAATTTTTCAAACACCAGGAAACAATATCGCTTTTGTTTCCTATTTACTATAAATTGCACTGCTATATTTACTCAAGGATTTCTAGTTAGCGTTAAATAACAGTGCAAAGCGATCGCAAACATTAGCCATGAATTATTGATACTTTACGAACATGTCGTATTTCTTTCAACGTTCGTTTATTTAACATCCTCGCGTCATTAGAGGATTAATAAAAAAAATCGCCATTAATGTATAAAAGAGTCTTTGGTTTTCAAGATCAGATCAAGATTATATCTCGCGCGATTCGTGTAGAAACGCGCGAACGTGCTCTGCCTGCATTTCGTATAATTTTCTGAGTATTAGTATTCGCTGGCGTTTGAACTGTCGTCAAAATTCACGCGTCGTTTAGAGCGGACGACGATACAGGGTGTCCCTGAAAAATGTTGGTCTCCGCAAGGGAGGCGATTTCCTATGTTAAAGTTGCGCTGGAAAACAGAAAATCTTGGATGGACGCACCTTTAGCAATAATCGCTAATTGCGTAATTTACCTATATTTACATACATGGTTACCTATATTTACATACATGTTTACCTATATTTACATACATGTTTACCTAACCGATTTATACCTAATTGGACGTAAATTTTAATTACATATGTATGTACGCTGGGAATTTACTACCTTTGCATTAATTTGTTACTCGTATCTAGTCGAACCTATATTCTGTTTCGTTTTGCCGCTCGAACCATCTTACTGGAGAGACCATCGTTTCCAGAGACACCTGGTATAACGATACGGAGCAGATCCCGAGAGACCTAACGGTTCACGTTCGCGAATTATACGACGAGCGATTTTTAAGCGGTTGCACGGTTCAAATTCTGGTTCTCCGTGAACACCGCGGGGTTGCGTTTCGCAATTCCTCGCCGGTTAATTAACTGAAATGAGCAGAGAGTGTACGGTTCGACCGGGCCGAAAGTGGGTTACAGACACGCGTAAGGAGAAAAAAAAAAAAATACGACTCCCCTTCCCGTACCTCGTACCCACTATCCTCGTGATTGGTATGCAGGTGTGAAGGCACCTGTAGTTACGAAACGTTACCTTGACCGCTTGGCCAGGTCATTGTGAGTCATTTAACTTGTAGAGACGACAATCGATACACCCCGGGGGGTGGGGCGGGGGGGCAGCCTTTATCATCTCGAGATTTAATTTTGTCCCTTGGCGTGGTACTTCTCTTTTTATCCTATCGATAATAGGGCAAAAATTACATTCATCGCAAAAAGATACCGATACAGACCAAAACTGTTCCACCCACTCGATATTACGAGTAACTGTATACTGTTACTAACAAAATTCAAAAGTAATTAGTTAACATTCACTTCGAGACTGTATCGTAAGAAAAAAAGATCGATCATCGTGCTTCTGGGGATAATCGTGATCACGAATCAACAGTAACACCGATTGATCATTATATCCAACGTCTCGTATCTCGAACTTGCGACACGGAATCGAGTTTCCTTTTCGTCTAAATTCGCTGGCGCAATTTCCATCGATTATTGCCGCGTATGAGGGGAATCGGTATGCAGTAGATCGCGATAATGTATGCAGGTAAAAAACACGACGAAAGTCTGTCACGTTCGCGCGGCCGGTGATATACGCTCGACCCTCGATGACCCTCGATAAATTCATTAAACCGCGATTTGTGGATCGTTGGCGCGTTCGCTGCGCGCGCAGCTAGGATCCTCCGGACTCGCGGATCCGGTCTTGCACTTTTATTCGATCCGCGGCGCGCGATCGGGACGCGACGCGCGGAGCACGTGTTCCCGGTCGAATCGATTCGATCACGCGCGCATCGGGTCGCGTGCTAATGGAAATACGCGCGATTGGTCGGAATGATGGACGGGAAATTTGTCTCGGTGACGTTTCCGGGCGGTACGCAGCTTCGCGGAATCGACGTTCTCGCGGGAAACGCGTAACATCCGACAGTTTGACAATTAGAACGGACAACAACGCACGGAAACCGATTATCGTTCCCGGTGTCCATTATTAAGTTCTGTGAGCTTTTCGCTCGAAAATGCTTACTCAAATGTTGCACGTACAATATTTATTTCTACGGTAGAAGCTGGATAGAAGATTAACTAACTGCAAACTAACTAACTAACTGCAAAGAAACTAGCTCACAAACTAACTAACTAACTGAAAAACTCTTTGGATGTAAAACAATTAATTTCGTGTTTTTCGTTGTTGCATCGATCCAACGAGACGGTAATCGCATGGGGCAGCATCCTGAGAGTAAAATCGAAAAATACCAATTTCGTTGCTAGTACCCTCGGGCAAACTTGATGCTAGTTGGCAGCGAAAGGTTGAAAGGTGTTCCTGTAACGTTTTTTCCTCGTAATCAGGTTCGAGGTTGCGGGTAATATATTCCGTTCTCTGATCTGGGGATCTTAAACTCGCTTAAAAGTACACGCGTGTCATTCGAACTTGCCTTGAGCTAGAAATAAATGACGCATCGCACTAACACTACCCGCGGCTACTTGTAAACATTTCTATATTTGTGCCTTAAGTTCGGCCCTTCCAATTCTGTTCGTGTTATGACGGGTTCCCGAGAACTCTCGTCTTTCACAACTATTTCTATTTCGGTCTAAAAAATTTATCGAGCGAAGAAATCTCGATTCGCTAAAGAGAGTCGTGCAAAAAAGTTAGTTCATTCTATATTAGCTGCCCGTAGAAAGTTATTCGACGAGTCTCGCTAATTCGACGCCCAATATATGGCTAACGAGAGTCCCAGGCGCTTTTAGAAATCTGTTACAGGATAGATTCAAAAGGAGCGATGAATAGTTGAGTCGGGGCGTCCGGTCTTTCGAAAAGATGCTTTTGTAAAGGAGATTCTTCGAAGCAATTCGATGTACACGGTTACCAAGCAGGCATAAATGCACGATATCGCAACACCTTCAAAGGTTAAAGTTATCACCCAAGAGACACGATTTCGAAACGTCCATAAACGGTCACGGTAATCGAACGTTTCTCTCGCTAATTTCCGACAGCGCGTTTCTATTTTCGATATCTCGATGTCTGGAACAATGGACTATGCAAAGCCCCTTCGACTAAAAAATATTGTTCAAAGAACTTAGCACTCGACCGATTCTCCCAGCAAATATAAACATCCAATATTTTACGACGGGAACAATTTAATCTAAACGTGGTCCCGGTAGAATTTAATTTCATTTTTAAGGGTGTCTGTTTTCCCTACAAACGGTGTTCCATTTGCTCGTGGCTGGATCCCCCGGTAGGCTCCTCGCGAGAACGATAAATTTTTCCTCCGCAAAGACTAGTCGAAGACGTAGCCAGGTGGAAACGTTGCAAGGCAAGGGCAGAAGACGTTTTCGAATTCCAGGCCCGTAGCCAAAGGTGACCATGTAAAAACCGTGAGGGTCGATAACAGAGTTTAGTCTCGTTCATCGAGGACGGCGTTCTCTTGCTGGAACACACCAGCGTTACGTAAGTTACGTGACAATAGATGAAACAATTTCCACTAGGTCGTATCCGATGCAGGCATTATTAATAAACCCGAGGCTCCAGGTGCTGCTAAATACGCGTTTCCAAGCAGCTTGGAAACAACGCGACCAGAATTTCCGACTACGTTTCCTCGATCGTCCCTGCCTGGCACGATAACGAGAATTCATCTTAATAATCAGAAAGTTAGTCGTTGATTGCTTAAAACGCTGATGCATTTTGTAAGCGGTTCGTCAGGGTTTCGAGTGAGAAATACAAGAAATAATGCCTTGAAAAATTCGTGATTCGGTGACGATGAGGATGGCTATGCGTGTCAAGTTCATCGGTTCGTCCCGAAAATTGCTCAACGCTCGAGTTGGTCGGAAGAGACACGGAAAGCGTATTCGCTTCAGGCTGGCATTTTACCGTGCAAATATCGCGTCTATCTCTTGACAAGCGTTCCGGCTAAAGAGTACAGACATTGTGCAACGCGTAATCGCGATTGAATCGGGAGAGAAGAGGAGCTTGTGGTCCAAGTTACGAAAGGTAAAGCCGAACGGTGTCGTAACGTCGCGAGTCGATTGCAAGATTCCTTCGACGGGAGAAATAAGCGGTCGTGATCGTTGGCCGATACGGAATCTCTCGGTCCTCGTCTTTTTGAACGGCGCCGCCGTTTTCGAAACGCCTACGGTCGTTAACGCCTCTGATAATTTACGCGTTCCACGCGACTCCGTTTGCTCGTTAAGACCCGGGTACGTCGAACAGGGGGGAAAATGCGAAACAGCTGTAACCTATTGCCAAATCGCGCGCGGTTCGTGTTGATTCAGAAGGTTAGACATCGTATTAAAGATACGGGACGCTAATGTTGCCTTTTCACATTACGATATCCGGAGATTACACCTTAAGTGCAATCTCGTGGCTTCCAGAGACGTTCGACGAAACGGTGTACCAATGCTTGGACCCTGGAACCTTCTGAAATGAGAGAAGCCTGGTCGTTTGAAATTCCCCCCTCCGAAAACAAATTAAATTGCTTGGATCTTCCTCGACTCCGCCATAGTTTGGACGGTCGAGAGTTCGTTGACAACACGCATCGCGTTGCTCGACGAAGTAATGGAAGTAGAGAGCCTCGAGCAATATGTTACCGTGTTGTCCCGGACCGTGACGTTACTCAAAATCGTTACATAACAAG